CCCCCTCCCTTTTAGCTCAAGGTCTGGATCCGCCACTGGTGAGTGTCGTTTTCTCTGCATTGCACAGATAGAGCTAATTGGTAACTGAGAGAAATGAACCAATCACAGCGCATAGTGGTGACCCTCTTGGTTTTGGTTTGGCACCTGTTCATGACCAAAACTACCCTGCTCTGATTCAGGTTACTCTGAAAGCGCATCGAATGTTTCCCGTCCACACTGCGCCAGAGGAATTTAGAAACTCAACAACCACTACTCATTTTGGATTTGTGTTTGAGGAAAACTCGGCAGGGAAATCACGTGATTATCGTGTCGCCATCGTTTTCAAAGAACTCCGTTTTGAAAATGTTTTCCGTCCACACAAAAACAAAAAGCCGGCGTTTTCAAATGCCTCTGGTGTGATATGGAGAGCGATTTCGAAAAGCTACGTTTTCTTGACGGATTAATGTGGACGGTAGGCCTAACTGTAGAAATTAAGCTTCGTATGCCCCTTCAAGGCATACGAATCAACAACAAAGAAATACATGACAGAATATGAATTAAATTGTTTGTTAATTGATCTTTTCACCGTTTCTGACGCCATCTTGCTTGGGGGGCAAATGCAGCAAAACTTGCAGTAAATGTATGGGAAAAGTTAAAGGTTTGATGCCCAATAAGTTGAGAGTGATTGACTTTCTGATTATTTTATGAGTTACAAGGAAAAGACACCCAACAGAAGGTTGTTTTGGTCAAATTTGAAGAACATAGATTTGCTGTGAGGCGAGAAATTGCACTTTTAATTTTTCTTACAAATGTCTCAAAATTTTCCCGCGAATCGCAATTCGATTTTACAGACAAACGTGTGGAAAAATGAAAACCTTAATTGTGGCTTTTCTAGCGTGGCTATTTCCATCAAATGCGATCAGGAAATTATTTTACCTAGTAGCTTTAGTTTTTAATTCATAGATAGTTTAGAACTCGAATTTTCAGTGAGTTGTTAAACATTAGATTCTCCATTTTGCCCATACACGTTAGAAACCGGGAAAAGACCTATACACAAAAGCAACAGCTGACATGAAGATCCACAAGAAGAAACATGTACAGATAAATAATGACAAGATATGGCGGGAATAACGCAAAGAGATAAATTCAATTCGTCAAACTCCAGCCAATCTTCTTTTCCCTTAGATTCGAAGGTTGTATGAAAACTCCAAGGTTCGCTACAGGCGACAAAAAGTTACGCCGAGCCCGTCTTTTGAAAAGCGAGCGTACCATCCCCGGATGCCGTGACGCGTGCAAAGACCCCAGTTTTGGCGGGAAATGCCACAATGGCGGGAAATGCGTGAACAGGATCGTGAGAAGAGAGTGCGACTGCAGAGGAACTGGATTCAATGGTCCGAACTGTTCTCGGGGTAAGATAAATTTCCCAGACTTGTTTCCTTCTTGAATGGTAAATACAATAAAATATATAATGTCTATAGTAGCTGAATTAATAAATTAAAGGTCGCAGTAATATTCATTACGTTATTAAAATAATAATATGCATTTTACCTTGTACGTGTTTTTTCGTTTGTTGGCTTTGAATGAGACTTCATCTGAAACGAATTATTAAAGCAAATCGAGTTCCATAGAAAATGATCTTTTTTCTTGTTACATGTGATGCCCATCGATTCTTTCATGTTTTGTTTTCTGTCAGTGTAGGATCTTCGATAAAGTCAATCTGAAATGAGAAAATGAGTTCACAAACCGCTTCAAAAAAAAAATAAATAAATAAATAAAAAAATAATAATAATACGGTAACTGGTTTTCTTTCCGCAATACAAAGAAAGAAACATTGAAAGTTGTTAAGGATGACACACTTCACAGCTACACATCTTGTGTGGCTCAGTCATTTGAAATTAATGCCTTCATTCGAGTTAAGATTTGCATACGAAGCTTGCCTGATAAGAATCTCGCATCGCAACTTTTGAACACACAGTTAACAAATAAAAACTAAAATGAACTGTGGTTTTGTGATGAGATGAACGATTCTTTGTTTATCTTTATTTCATTTAGTATTGAAAAAACGTTGTGCCTTTCATTTGTCTGGGTAGAACTGGCAGCTTGTCAATGTGCTCAGCTTCAGAGCTGGGTCAGTGATATTCATCGTTTAATGCGGGGCTGTTATTAACAAAAAGGACTCTGATCGCATTTAGCGTAATTATATGGTGGGAATATTATCGGTGCATCAGTAACATGATCAAGAATTTAAGCCTGCTTGTACTTTTTTCCATGTTAGTCGCACTTGTGGATTCCACAGCAGGACTGCGATTCAAAGCAGATTCTAAACGGTCTTATGCTGAGTTCACCGGTTGGCCCATGCCAGAAATCAGCGAGCTGCAGTTTTACTTCAAAACAGGCTCACAAAAACCCGCCATTCTCCTCTACCAAGACAATGGCGTTGATCGTGACACGAACGATTACCTCGAAGTATCTCTGGTGAAACATGGCCACGTTCGGCTTCGTCTCCGTGGTAATGGATGTTCGAAGACTTACCTTTATATCCGTCGAAACTTTACCGATGACTCCTGGCACAAGTTGAAAATTTCACGACACGGCGTCCGTCTCAATTTGACCGTTGACAACATTTCAAGCGAATACATCTCCTGTGTACAGCCGCCGCGTTTCTCTGGACGCAATGGAAAAGCTCAGAGCTCCCTTTTTATGGGAGGAATTCCACTCGAAAATCCCCAGGGAACTCCTACCGATGGGAAATGGGCCCTGACTGGGCTGTTCCGCAAAGTACTACAAGAAAGCAGGTGAGAAGTGGTAAAAAGTGTTACGTGAAATTATGGTATGTGCGAAATTTTTGCAGTCTTTTCTTTTTACTAATCTCAGTATACACCTACTATATCTGTCGAGTATTTTTAGAATCTTATTTCAACAAAATAATTTTTGTAGTACTACGAGAAATCCTTGTTCTAATGTGATAATTCGAGGTTTCCACAGATAGCATCTTGATTGAGGACATGAAATAGACAAATGTCTGCTTTGGACAGCTGCAAACCGATGAGAATGGTCATACACAGCCTGTGATCGCAGAAATTCAGTACTAGAAAATAGTCTGTTCGGGTTAAACCTTTCGGTCAAGTTGATTTTCAAAGTGGCGCTTGATTTTCTACAGATATTTCACACATACACACAACTTAGACTTGGTTCCCACAATTTTACTTTTAATTATTAAAGAGAGGATTTATGAATAATTTTCGTACTTGGACCTGACTAGTTCGAAATAACGTTTAGCTTATATATAAATTATAATCAGAAGGAGTATTGACTTTGACAATATTTTACTGAACAATTGTGCTCATAGGGAGCTGCAGTTCGAAACAGTTATATTCTAAATTCAAATAATATGGTCACTCAGTGGGAAGGAAGGAAAACCATTTCGTAAAATTGAAACAATGGAAAGACTATACAAAGGAAACCCAGGCGTCGGGAAACAACACAGGATCTGCATGATAGTAAAACACAAAAAGCCAAGGTGCAGAAAAATTACTTTGTTCTTTTCCAATTAACAACAGCAGCAACAAAAACAGCAAGAACAACAACAAAGGAAGGAGAAAGAATGAGTTATAGACTAATATTATTAACATCAGAGCGGTTTGTTGAGTTTTCCACTCGAATTTTTAAAGCAAGCCATACACGTGTCGCGAAAAACACCTTTGTCGGGGATCCAATGTTTCTTACAAAAGGATTCGCTCTTGTCAACAAGTTTGTTTCCAAATTTAGTGGCGTAGTTAATATATTTTTTTCCGTGCTGGAAAACCTACAATTGCGTCTTCTCTTTTCATACATGCATTTTTTTTTATTACCCGGGAAGAAAATTCAGACAAACAACGGGAATTTTAAAAAAATTGGACAGCATTGTTTTGCACTGTGTATTCCCTATTGACAGCTGGTTCCAGGGATGTGTAGCGCTACTGAGATACAACAGCGAGGCCAAGCCATTCGAGAATGTCAAGCTACTGGGGTCAAAAGGCGTGTGGGAAAACTGCAGCGGCGAGGCGTGTTCAAGTTCTGAACAGAACAAGTGTAAACACGGAGGGATCTGTGTTGATCTGGTGGTGAAGACCGAGTGCGATTGTAAGGGGACTGGGTACTACGGACGCTTCTGCGAACGATCAGGTAATGAACGTTAACAATAAACTAAGCATACTAACTTAACTAGATAGCGGGTTGGTATTTGTTTTTATAGTGTTGCCACACACACTGATTACAATACTTATACGGCTACTTACACTACCTACAAGGCTAATACATCTACTTAATCTACTTACATTACTTACAATATGATTCCTCCAGCCACTTGCAATGCTAAGACTTACAACACTTACATTACTTACAGTACAGTACATACACTGCTTACGATACAGTACGATCACTTGTGCTACTTACAGTACTAATATGTACTACACACCGTACAATGTGATAACTCATGTTGCTTACAATACTAACACTTAAACTACTTACACTGCAATACGATTACAATACTAACGCCACTTGCAATACTAATACTCACACTACGTACTTACACAGCTTACAATAGCGGGTTGGTATATTAATAAGAATATGCCACATCTCCAATGTTTCGAGAGCACGGCTAAACTTTGATCTCCAGGCTGACAGGTGCAATTAATTCAACGGCCTGTTCCCACGAATGCAGATGAAAAGCCAGGGTAGGCAAGAGAAGATGTAACAATATTTGTGATTAAAATGTTTTGTCTCATTTTGTTTGATTTCTAGTGAGCCAGGAACTAACGACGACTTCACATGTTAGAAACACGGCCTTTACCACTGCACCAGACCACACCAAGCCGGACAAAGACAACGAAAACGATGAGAAGAATCCCGATGAAACAAAAGGTGAACCAACAGCAAGGAAAAATAAAAAGGCTCGTAATGAATCTTCTTCTCCGGTCGTTTCACCCGGGTGGTGCCTATTACTCTCCATGGGATCTTTGCTCATGCGCACTACTGCAGCTTGATAATGACAGGCATTACTCTATCGTCAGCGGAGTCAACGGAAAAAAGCTTGTTTCAGTGGTTCTAAAGTAGCAGTTGATGGTTTTATTCTGCAAGGGATACTGTCCAACAGTGTTTTCACAGGAGAGAAGAAAATGTTGAAACTTTATCAAGATTAAACGCGACTTGGATCCAAGTTAAAGAAAGCTTAGAGAAGACAACTTAAAACTATTTACAATTATTGAAAAAACAATAATTTCCAATCTCCTTCCTCTATTAATTTTAGTCTTTTTTTAATTATTCCCCAATAAGACCAAGTACGTTTGGAGTTACGGTGAGGCTGATTATTAAGACAATCATTTCATGAATCAACTTATATTTAACCAAGGAATTCCTTCATCTGTATTTAAATTAAATAATAGGTTTTCGTTGAAAACGTGAAATTCTGATGAAAATGCATGAACTGATATGTTATTGGTGTATATCAACATTGATGCAACAAATTAATGTAGCTAAGAAAAGTAATTATGTTCTGCTTGCTATGCTCTCTAAGAAAGTAGTAATATATGTAGGGTAGCTCAAAGATTACAATCGATTGGTTATTACATGTTAACTAGTATGTGAACTTCATTCTAGAATCAGTTATAATCATTTGATCCTTGCAAGGTACAAACACAAATGCGTGCTACTAAAAGAAAAACCTTTGAACTAGAAATTAAGCTTCGAGAGAAAAACTCGTTGTAGCTGGATCTCACGTGACCTACTCACCAATGAGAATTATGGGTTATCACTTGAATAGAACAGTCACAATAAAATAAATTAAACCGTCGACAATTTGAATTCACCGAATTTGACTTGCAAGGCTTTACGGCAAATTTTATGTTTGATACATATTGTAAGGTTTGGCACGTATCAAAATAGCTGTTCCTTAGAAATGTATAACAACGCAAATTTCGGCAAGAGTTTCGTAAGGCTGGTAACTGCAGTCACGTGCATTGCTTAAAAGACTGTAAAAAAACGTAAAAAATATGTTAACGAATTTAATAGAAGTGAGGTCTGTTTCCTGATGTGCCTTCGTGTTTAGTAAAGGCTGGTTTTCAATAGCGCATTAGCGTAAGCATAAGCGACTGACGCAGATGCAATAAGGTACTGTTGAGTAGCGCTTGCTACTTGAAATGTTTCTTAATAGAAAGCTTTTAAAGCTCTCTCCACGGTTAGCTTTTCTCATTTGAATTACAATGTAATCCAACACGTGTTCGGGGCAATTTCGGGCTAGTCTGTAGTTTCTGCCCGAAATTACCTCGCATCCACGTTGAATTACATCGTAGTGCAAATGAGAGGAGGTAAGCGATGTTATCAACATCTTACTGCGCATGCGTGTGTTGATTATGGTCATGTGCTTAAGTCTGATTTGACTCGACTTGAGTCGAAAAGCATTTTTGACTTGATCAAATATAAAATAAAATAAAATAGAAAATAAATATAAATAAATGAATAAAAAATAATAAAATAATAAATGAATGAAATTCAGCTTATCTTGTCACTGATAGAATTAACTGATAACTGCCTTCAGAGATTGTAATAAAGCTTCTGTGCGAGACAGAGATGATTATAAAGGCGAACTTCTCGTGTTACCATAAATTAAATGGTGCAAAACGAGAGGGAAGGTCTGGAAGAACGACATATGTTGTAGAAAGCTAGCGTTTTCCGCTTTCATGAGATTATCTACTCCCCTTGCTTGGTTTTCGGTGTGGGTTTTTTTTCTACCCAGGCCTTTGAACTCGATTCCATCTGATTTTCTGTGACGACACAGGAATGGAGCACGTGACCAGAAACACATTGTTCACAGCGACAGTTCAAAAGACTATAAAATGTTTAAGCAAGCAACCGGAACGATGATCCTGCTGGTATACGTTGGATCAATAGTGATCTAATCGGCTTCACATATAAAATGAAGAATACAAAAGCAAAAACCGACACAACGTAGGATGATTTTTTGAAGGTGTACTATACTTCAAAAGAACACGACTGGAAACTAATTTTACCCGGAGGGGGAGTCCCATATAAAAAGGACGGGGGTACTCGGCGCACCTTTTAGTGGTTAAAAAAGCGGATTTTGTAACTCTTGAGATGTTCAGCCTCAAAAGGTCTACCAGCAGGGGTTTTCTCTTACCTTTCAGGGTATTGAGCCGAAAAAAGTCAGTGTCAGTCGATATTTTGTTTTAGAATCGGTACATCTTAGGGGTGAAAAACATTTCAAACCACACCCACAGAACAGGATCTTGATAACCCTTTATAAATACTGTATATTAAGTACAAAGGCAAATAAACAGAATGAATGAATGAATGAAATCTTAGTGGTTCTTTTCAAAATTTTCCGACGAACATCTCCCCGGAAAATTTTGTACCCAACCGCAAAAGCGCTCGCGAACGTTCATAATTTTCTGGGAACTTGAAAAAATTTCGAAAGTCTTGTATGTTGTACTGCACATGCACCTGGACTCATTTAAACAGGGAAGAACACACTTTGAAAGGACTGGCGCAAAACTTTGCAAGCAAGGCCAGAGTTGTAAAATTATCAACGTGATTATGCTTGCTAAAGATGAGGCTCTTATTAGAAGATTCCACTAGATATGGAGATATGGAAGAAAAAGGCAGAAAATACATAGATAATCATTGATGCAAAACTAATATTGTCAGAGGAAATTAGAGTGAGAATTACTCTTGGAAATAAACATCAATAGGTCTCTTGACTTTCAACTTTTTTCCAACGGGTGGGTTAAATTCATGGCCTCTTTGTAGTATTGACTAGCTAGTAGAAAAAAACGCTATCAATGGTTTCGCAGAGAATGCATTATGTATAATTCATTAACTCTGATTAGGTCAAAGTTTCTTGAGTGAATGAACTTTTCTGTTCTTGAATGAAGAACAGTGTAGCTCATTTCAGCATAATGTGTGTCTGACAAGGCGTCAGGCCAGGCCAAAGTTAAACGAGGAAACGTCCGCCTCACGCTGCAATGAGTATTTATTTGTCCTCCGTTACTCGTAACGACTTGGGAATCGAGAAATCTGAAGTCAGTTTTAAAGCTTAAAATGGCTGAAGCGGCAAGTGAATAGCGTAACCACAAGTTCAAGTGAAATAGTAAATAAAACAGTAAACGTAAAAAAACAGGTGTATTTTTGTGAAATACGTACCAATTTGGTTTACCAGCCTGTCAGACTCAAAATTTGCCAAAAAAAATTAAAAAGAAATCAAGTCATACTGATGTAAAACTTGTTAGTAGTGTTTGTGTGGCATAAACCATGTTACAGTAGATTTCAAATCAAGTGGTTTACAAACTGATAACCAACCGGAAAACATACAAAACTGGACGATCTTAAACGCAATGTGGAATTTCAAAAATTGTGCTGCTTGCGTCAATTTTTGATGGTTTTGTCGCTTTTGCGCATACAAACTGCAACTCAAATACCTTTATTATTTAAAAATATATCGCATTCTCTTTTCAGTTCATTAAGTCAAAGCATCGATATTTATCTCATGTAAAAAGAAAAGCAACTTTATCATTACTTGAAATGACTAACAACCCTCATTACCATGGGTTAAAATATAAATAAAACAAATTCCACCGCAAAATTACTAACATTGACTCTCGCGTGAGAATATTCATATTCATTTTAATACGAACACCTTTTAAAGAGAAACAGAAGGCCGAATATGAATAATTATTTAATGGGCGGTCTTAACCGCTTTTTCTTTGACCGCAAGCCCGTTTTAGATAGATTTTCAGGTATACATTTAACTGACTAAAGGTGATCTACGGAGAAATGTTTTTGAGTCACCCGTGGGCCGAAAGCGGATTTTGCAATTTATAACAAGAAAGGTTCTAAAATAACCATCACGTATGATTGAGTTGTAAATTTTTAATGGAACGACGCGCAAAATGAACAGAAAATTGCTGCTTATTTGTAAACAATTAAACGCCAAAACTGAAATCTCAGCGAGGTGAATGGAGAGTAACTTTAAATTTCTACGGCTATTGTTACAGGAATAATAGAAAATGATGAACATGGAAATAACTAGTTTTAACGCCAAGCCTTTATGCACTGTGATAATGACAGACGTTTCAAAGATATCAAAAAAACAAAACTGGATTGTGAATGGCTTAAGAGAAAATTACATTCTAATCGAGCATTGCTTATGTCTTAAAAGTCGACGAATAGGCCACAATAATGAGACTTTAATACGACAGTCTGCAGGTGAAATGTAGCTAGTTCACATTGTGCAGGGACGCTTCTTCGTCCGCACGTTTTGGAAGTAGCAGGTTTAGAGCTTTTAATAACGTCAAAACGGCTTAAAACTGATACCCGTGACGTTTCCCTCTTTGGAGAGGTCTTATTATTTTATTCAGCTTCTCGAATGTGTGTTATTCCACGCGATAAGGGCAAAGTTCAAGTCCGCCAATGAAGTTATTGCAATTACTGATAGTGGACATGCGGTTGAAAGTTGATGTGAACCGGCGAATCACTTTGTTTGTGTCCGCTAATAAAACGCGATGTACGTTTCGCCGCTTTTCAACAAACAGACTGTAAACAGACTTCCGCTATATTCTCCTAAACATCATACAGGAACAGACATTTTGTTTTGCAGTCTTGGCTTGGCACACTATGTCAGTAAAATACGCTTTCTTTCTGATTGTGGTGAGCTCACTTGTATCATCGGTGATTCAAGCGGCGGGAACCGAGAGTGCTGGATTAGAATTTTACGGCCAGCTTGATTCTTACGCTGAATATGAACCATGGAACTGGCGTCTGAATGCAACACTACAGTTCTTCTTCCAGACTAAATCGAAAAAACCTGCCATGATCTTTTACCAAGACGACAATAGAGAAAGCCAGTTTATGGATTTGTTTCTCATGAATGGAAAAGCTCGATTCCGTGCAAAGGTACAAGGAATGAACGAGATTGAAAAACGAGTCATTCGACACGACTTTGCTGACTCAAAGTGGCATAAGGTTAATATCGAGTTGTCTGAGGAAGAAATAAAGTTGTCCATAGACACTGAAGACACAATATACAATGCAAGGCCGATAGTACTTACTCGATATGCTGAATCTCTCGACAATGCCGCCCTGTATGTCGGTGGAATTCCTCTAATTAACCAGGGATGGTCTTATCCAGCGATTTTCTTCAATGTTTACGAGTAAGTACAGACATTTATTCTCATTCTGTTAGCTGTTATTGCAAAACACTAGTTAACGGGTTTATTCGCAAATCATGAATGCGTCAGTGCACTTATTTGTGACAGATGAGTTTTGGAGTGCTCTCGAACAAGGTTAGCTCACAAGTTGAGCAAACTCACAAGCAGTTTTCTTGCTAGCTAAATCATTTAAGATTCGAGTGGTTTGAGAAACAATGCACTGAAATACGAATACGCCATTGAGCTACGGCGTAAGTCGACTTGCTGTTTTCCACAGAAAGGCAACTTTGCAGAGTAAATCAGGTAACTGTATAGTTTATGTAGTATTTTCCTGTCATCTTTCAGTTGCAGATTTGAACGTTATAAAACTTTCATTTGTTAAAAGATCATAAATGAATGATTGCGATGTCAGTGTTTTGTTATTTTTAATTCAAAGTAAGATTAATTATAGAATGTGTTCACGTGACCTCATCAAATTCTCAAATCCAGAACTAAAGAGCTTGGAAACCAACGCATTTTCAATTTCGGAGTTATGGCGGTGTGTGACATTGAGCTAAGATCACGTTTGTCGAAAAATATACACTTAACTCGTGACTTTTAGCCATTTTAGGAGTTAACGTATTAGGAAAAGTGCTTGTGTAAATGCTTTTGGTTCGGTTCAGATAATCAGTTGTCTAGATAGCCAAAGTAAGTTTCAGATGTTTACACTATTTTCCGGCCGCCATAATGGAGGACTAAGGAGGTACTAGGCTCGGAACACTTCGACGAATATCTCAACTTTGGGACAACGCACACATCTGAAACTTGGAGAACTGTCAACTTCATTTATCGTCTATAATATCACAATTTCTTGACTTTATCCATTGAATGGTTTTTGATTTTATATTTTATTGCGTGACAATGCACTCGCTCTATTATTCTGTTACAAAACCCTTGCAATCAAGTCAACTTCCAGTTTAACTTACAGTTCCCTTAAGCTTGACTAACAAATCCATTCACTTTAATTTAGGAAAGACCCCGCTGTCTTTAAAGGCTGTATTGGCGACATAAGATTCAATCGAGCTCCGAACGGTCGTTTAGAAAGAGCAAGACTTCGGCGTTCAAAGAAAGCCACGAATACCTGTAAAGGAGACTGTGAAAAGCGGCCTGAGAGATGCGCCAATGACGGCCGGTGTATCGACATGATAAGGGATTCCGAGTGCGACTGTAGGGAGACTGAGTACGAAGGAAGAAGCTGTGCAAAACGTAAGGACATGTGAATAGCAAAGTCTATTTTCCCGCCTAAATTTTTTGTTGTTATGGTAACCACAGAGGCATGAATGAACTAAAGTGATAGCATACATTTATATAAATTATTAATATAATTAACCTTTCTTAACGCTTAAGCCTTAAGCCCTGTCCACACTACGCCGCGGAAATTTCAAAACGGCGTTTTCACTCTAAAAACGTATCAAATGTTTCCCGTCCACTCTACCCCAGAGCAAATTTGAAAACGCAACAATCACCGGTCATTTTGGATTTGTGTTTGAGGAAAACTCGTTCAGGGAAATCACATGATTATCATGTCGTCATCGTATTCGAAAAGCTCCGTTACAAAATGTTTTCCGTCCACGCTAAAACGAAAAGCCGGCATTTTCAAATTCCTTCGGTTTGAAGAGCGTTTTCGAAAAGCTCCGTTTTCGTGAAGCTTTAGTGTGGACGGTAAGCCTAACCGTAGTAAAGCTGCGTCTTCAAATTTCTCCGGCGTATTGTTGTCAGAGGCTTGAATAACTGAACCTGACCATAGTCAATTCCACCTGCATAAGCAGACGGAAGGTCGCGGAAGGTGCGGGGAAACAAGCTGATATTGCAATAACATTTTTACAATCTTTGACAGGTTCCACAGTTGTCTTTATGGATGGTAATGGTGCATATATGTCATACAACCTGGACAGTGACAATCCTCTGAGGTCAACAGAAAGAAATGCACTGGAGTTCCGGTTTTTAACAGAAGCTAAAGATGGCGTTTTCTTTTACATGGGGCGAGATAAAGACCACTTACTTGTGGAACTTGTTAATGGAAGTCTACGAGTGCAAGCAGATTTTGGCGATGGTAAGCAATAAAGAGAGTAGATAATGTAGCTATGTACTATGAGCAGAAAGGGGAGACAATAGAGGGGTGTTGGGGAAAAGGACAAGAGATGACCCCCCCCCCTAGATAATAATACAGCAACAGCAATAGTGTAGTTGCATCTCAAATACACTGTATGCTTCGTACGTTTGCCGTACAAAGGTGGTGGTAAGAAATAAAGAGACTAGAACATAACTGAGTCATTTGGCTATGCACTGCGCACAGAAAGGGGGGGGGGGGGACAAAAGAGGGCCGGTATTGGGAAGGAGAGTAAGAGGTGCTCACCCCGGGCAACAACAACAACAATGGTTTATTTACACCTCAAATATGCTTTATGCTTTGTACGTTTGCCGTACAGGCGTTGTAGTGAAGTATTCGACTAAGTGTACTTTCTGCAGATCTGATGAAAATCTGTGTTGAGCTCTTTCTTTAACACTATAAAAACAACTAAGTTTAAAGCGTTACAAATGTCTGTGCTTGTCTGTACTTGTGAGCCATTTTAATGAAAGTTGTGAGAATTGGTTGATATATTAGGAGTTGCCGACTATCCCCTAAGATGTAAAATGGTGACAAGAGTAACTTTTCAGAGAAAGTTTTCTTGGAAGGACATTCAATTCACTTTCAATTTTTTTTTTTCATTCAATTCTCTGTTGATAATGATCAAAATGATTGAATTCTAATTTCCTGAAAGATCACACTTTGTCATTTATTTTGAATCTCTCAAATGTAGGTCCTGTTGTCGTGCACAGTAAGGAAAATATTCTGTCGGACAGCTGCTGGCATCACGTGGAAATCCGCCGAAGGAAACGACGTTTGACCGCCATGATCGACTTAGGGAAATCTGGGACTTACAATGCAAATTTTTCTATGTTTACAACACTCAACCTCAACAACCAGTCGAATTTGATTTACTTTGGAGGAGGTCCTTCAATGGATCTACGCTTCGCAAAAGCCAAAAGGTTGTCATTTAAAGGCTTTCTCCAAAAGCTTCGATTTGAAGGATTCAATGTCTTAGAGAACGCGTTACAAAACAAAGACGGTTTTTCTCACACTGGAGTGATGGACATTACCCCCTACAATGTGCTTTTTGGTCAGGCTAAGGAAAAATGCGAGGCCGGGGGGTCAGGATGCTCACCCAGTGAGGATGACTCAGACAATTGTAATCCATCAACACTCCCTCCTACCACCAGTGAGTACTGTTATGTACCATTATAGGTCCGGAGTACGTGCGAAGTATTCAGAGCAAGGTATCATTGTATTGGCTGCCGCATAGGACTGCACTGCGTGCAGAGTATTGTGGCATCATAGGGCCTTGATCCGTAGGAAGAAATACGCAATCATTATATTCTGTTGAAACTTGTTTTCTAATTGATTAAAGTCCAGACCCCGTTGTTGGAAAGGTTTATGACGGTATCCACGAGATAAATCTCTATTCAGTGGAAGGTGTTCATAAAACAAACCACGCTATCCACTAGGTAGTAATTTATCCATTGGATGGCGTTAGCCACCTTCCTTTCAAACAACCCGGGCCAGGTGGAACGTCTTTAATACGGACAGGAAAGTGCCAGTGCCGTACTACGGAGGTGTCCGTAATACATTGGTAGAAATTATAAGAATCCTGGTTTCTTTGGGACCAAATGTCTGTAATAAAGAGGTGTCCTTATTATAGAGGCATCGGTAAGGATACGTTCGGCTGTATTTTGTCCTTAATGCACTGTGCAGAAGAAAAAGGAGAGGGATCGATCTTACGAGAGACTAGTATTTCAGGGGTCTGTAAAAAGACGTTTTCGTAAATAACTGTGGTCTCTTTCTCAAAGCGAGTTTTGGTGCCCATCCTTTCACATAAAAAAGAGATTTCATTCGCATGCAAATTAAACTCATTTTCATACGAATGGTTGCGCACCAAGCTTCGCTTTCATAGAGAGGCTTAAAGCAACTCGGAAACGGGCTATTTTTGATTTAGTAGAATTCTACTAGTACACTAATGTAAATGCTGTAATCTGATTGGCTGAGCCATTGAACACTATCAGCCATTAATGTGCAGTGGCTGGAGGTCGTCTAGGAAATGGCGACGTTTTTGGTTTTTCCAAAGTGTTGGAGGAAAATTTTGATGCAAATGGATAATTAAATTCCAGAGCAGTCTAAACGAAAGACATTTACGGTTTTTTGACTTTTGAAAAAGTTGAAATTATTGAAAAAGCTAATGCGCACGCGGACATATTTTCAATTTTAAATGACAATTCAGTCCGAGCGATCTTTTTCAGGCGCAAAGTTTAATAATACGTCAAGAAATAATGGGAAATTAAACCGTTATTTGAAGTAAATTTTAGTAAGAATTCTACTAAAACAATTCGATTATTCCTCTCTCGATTTCTAAGAGGTGATAGTTGATTCGACCTTCGGCCTCATCAACTATCGCCTCCCAGAAATCTCGAGCTCATAATCTGTTATAAAGCCTTAAGCTTATCAAATGATAGTTTTACAGGATTGTAGCTATAACTTTGTAAGTGTCTAACCGTTTATAGTGTTTTTGCTCATTTTTTAAGATACACAGACAACCACGGCATCTCCAACAACCACCCCATCACGTGCTCCGCCAAAAATACCTGAGACCCAGCTACCTCCGGAAACCGCGAAACAACAGAAACCGACACCGAGGCCTAAAGGTGTGTCAGCTTGGGTCATTATTGTAATAGTTCTAGCCGCCATGGCAGTCGTGTTCATCTCTGTGTTTTTACTGTACCGCTGGAATCATCGCTATACGGGCTCATTTAAACCCAGTAAAAACGGCGAGGGTCAGATGCGAGAACCTGGAGTGGAGCCCGCTGAACAACAAAATGCCCGGATGTATAATCAACCGGCGTTTTACATGTACAAACCTCCTAAGAAACCACCAACTGCCGAAAGCCCAGTGTCTATTTAGAACAGCGGTCTAGCTCCTGAAGCGGCGGTTGATGCGGCAAAGGGCTTCATTCGTAAAGTTCTTGGGTACTATTTAAGACAGCGAGGCCAGCTTAGCTTCTGGAAGAGAATCTGTCAATTTTAAGTGAAGAGCATCGACAAGACATTGACAAAAAGTACTGTTTTTATCATCGAGGAGACCATCGTATGTTAAACAAATGTGTTACTCCAATATAGTGGGAACAGGATTGAGTTACGAAGCAAAAAAAAAAAAAAAAACCCTTCACATCTATACTAAATTAAAAAAAATGCAGCTTTGCGGTGAAAGCATTTACAGATGTTTCAGAGAATTGTTTATTTATTTCTACATGCAGAGAAAGCGTACGGACGTATCCTGCATTTTTATGATGTTCAGAGGTGAAAGTATTGAGGAATGCTATAGTAAGCCGTATAATCAATGGCTTTATGGCTTGTATGTCACCCGCAGAACTAAGCATCATATCAGTATTAGGTATGAAAAAACCCCAGGACTCGATAATACTAAAGACAGCTAAGCTTACCTTCAAGGCAAAGGTTAAATCTGAATTTTGCTATTTGTGAAAATTGCAGTGGAATATTTTATAGTGTACAAAAAACTCGACCATGTCTTCCACTTATACCGTAAGATGGGAGAAATGATCAGCGTGCTTAAGACCAAACAAAGTTATGGCAAAGGTGCAAAGATTGCGGTTTCTATATGAAGTAGAACTTCTTTTTTCCTTCACAGGAACATAACTTTATATACATTGCATATGAAATGTTACTTTTACTTTCGACCTAATGTTCATTGTCTTAAAACTTCGACTGTATATTCAAAGCCAAACGATTTCTATTTTCTGCAAAGTTAGTGGCAATTTTCTGGATGTGAATTGAACGTCAAATTAGTTTTAAGAATAAGAACTCCTAAAATTAAGCCCTAAACGGAGGTATTTTCTTGCGTGTTGAGCTTCATATGTTAAACCTTCACCCCAACTCCCTCTCCCTGCAAATACTATTGGTAAAATCTTGAAATTCGGACTTGTCGGAGCTTTATTGAAGTGTCTTAAGCTGAGAAAACATCATTTCATATGCTTTTTGAGGTAACTTACAATGCTTTTTGACATGGACAGCAAAGACATCAGCCGGTCTGACTAAATAAAATATCTACCGGCGAGGTTGATCTCGGACATCCGAGACTTCAACAGTGTATTTTCGTAAACAGTAGTTGTTTCAGTGAATGAAGACATGTGATGTGGAAGAAAGAGCGATCCGCGTTTAAAACTCCTAGATAAATATTCAATTTCTGGTGATAACAATAGTGGCATCTTTCCATTTCTAGGAAATCTTGATAAAGAGGACTTTGCCTGGGATGAATGGTATAAGTAAACACAAACATTTCTGAAAAAAAAAACTGTTGTTTTCATTTCTTTACTCTGCATTGATAGCAGTTAAAACGAACGTTTGCCTCCTTAATACCTAGTTCCTGTTATATGCCCTTTCCAAGGTCAAAACTCTACAAGCGTCTCGTATAATAGAATAAGAGTTCCATAAAATCCCGCGAATAGGAACTCACTTAACTCAACCCTCCTCCAAATATAAATGCAAACATCCTTGCAATAAATAATTCGAATAGACGTCTTTGGGCTTATATTTATGTCTATATCCACAGCTCTTGATTTACCAGTAGAAAGTTCGTACACCAGGGACCCGTTTCTCGAAAGTCCCGAAATGTTCTCGCACCCGCAAAGCCGTAGCAAAATCTTAAACCTTATGATTACAGAGCTGTTTTGTCAGTTCACATATTCTTAATATGAACAGAGGTTCCCTTCAAACAAGAAGTTTCAGGCGTATACACTTCTCCGTTTTTACATACAGATTATATAAAAATGGCTTTACGAGCCCGAAACGTTTCCGGGGCTTTCGAGAAACGGGTCCCAGGCCCCAGTTGTTCAAAGGGTGGATGACACGTGTATCACTGGATAACACACTACCTAGTGGTTAGTGCAATTGGTTTCGTGAACTGGATGGGTATTTGTTCAATGGATAGTATTATCCACCCTTTGAACAACTGGGCCCTGATTTTCTTGTCCGAGGACATGACACAGTTATTACGACCTGGGCTTGAAACCAGACATCTACATCCGGAGTCCAGGGCATGCGCACCAACCATTACGCCCGCGCACTTTACTTTGAACTTAGGAAACTTCGGAAAATAAAGTTTTTCACCTGACAAACTTTAACTTGTAAAGTTTGGTTTCGTTGGTTTTAAAATCAGTGAAAATTGAAGAATGTTCTCGACGCCTACATTGACTAGCGTTTTATGCATGAGCAGCGTCTGTGAATATTTGCTCTAAGCTGTGTTCCATCCTGTTGTTCAGTGGCGGGTTTGTCTATGATGATGATGGTGTTAATAAAGCATACTGCTCTCTGACTGGAACCAATGTTAAGTTATTCATACCAATCGTTTTGATAGTTTTGTCTAACCTGTGAGAACCTCTGCAGATTCCAGCCCGCCTTAACACAGTCTGAACCCCGGTACGAATTTTCTTTTACGTATGGAATAGATGATCGGATTACACAGCGAACTGACAAAGAAAACACTAGAAGTAACCAGTACTACCTCGGCTGGGACTTGCCTACTTTTCAAGTACTGACGACAGAAAACAGTAATCCAACCAGGAACATAACATAGAACAAAAGCCCCAATGATAATGCTCACATCGACGGCTGCCTTCCTGTAAATCATGCTCTTAGTTCTCCTTTGCCATTGGCCCTCAGCACTGTCATGTCCATGAGTTCCCACTCGCACTCGAATGGTATTTCCCTGAAGAATTTTTGCCTTGTTGAAAACAGACCAGTTTAGAAACACAATTTAAAGAAAGGGCACAAAAAAAGTGATTAGAGCAAACAAGAGTATGTTCCGAGCGATATTATCGCTCTGCACTTCCCATCCTTGCTCACAATAGAATAACTCTGAATTGTAAACGTACTTTGCCCAACCGAGGAGCGGACCGAAGGAAAACGGAATCGGGATTTTCCAGATGACAACTATCAACACAACTCTTGACTTGCTAATTGAACCATCGTAGGTCAAAGGCGATCTAACTATGGCCTTGTATCGCTCATACGACACGGCTATCAGATGAAGAACGGTGTTAAGGTAGAAATATCGCAAAAAGAATGGATTGAGAAAGCACATTGTTTGACCGTATAACCACTTTTCTTGTGATATGTTTGCTATGCGGAACGAGTTTGTGAGGATTAAACAAAGAAAGTCTGACACTGCGATGCTGGCGAGCAGAATATACCGCATGACGTGAAATCTTCTTTCCAAGCCGATCGTTACTATTACCAGTAAATTTCCAGGAAGTCCGATCACGTTGAAAAATGCGAGGAACACTGCAATGGCTCGAGGAAGCGCCATGTTGCTTTCAAATGGTTTCAGCAAGAAATCTTATTTCTCCACCTCGGCCGCCAGTGAAGTATGACAATTGTTTGGTTACAATATTTGCTTGCATGTATTCGTCACCGTCGTGTGTTTTTTTCCTGGGTTTAATAGACACCTTGAAAATTACTTGGGAAGAATAAGCAACCGATCACATCCGACATATAGCTCGGTTGGTGGAACACTGAACTGGTATTCGCAGAAGTCATGATGGGTTCGACTCCCGTTCATGCTTGAAATCTACTGGCTCTGTTTTCACAGCTGTTTAAGTTGTGTATATAATTACTATGATCATTTATGTCTTTACAACGTAATTACTCTTTACTCCCGCGTATTTTCGCCGGTTTGATGGGGAGGTCAGTGTTTTATGAGGTGAGAACTTCGCCGATACATGTAAATATTACGCAAAAGCTCTCTTCAATCGAGGAGAAGAATTACTGAAAATGAACTTAAAATTTTCCCACATCGTATTTTAAATTTTCATGCTGGTTTATGATTGTTCCATCGTCGACTTTTACTTACACACTAATTTTCTGGAAAGGAGATATCAAACATTTTGTCAACAACTGAACAAAAAGCTTGAGAGTTTGACTGATTACGTTGGAACTATTTTATTAAAACGTTTATTGGTATAAAAAAGTAATACAATATTGGTACGCGTATGAGGCTGTTTATGTCGCATGTTGGTTCTACGACAGTTATCGAACAGTTCATTTATTCAACACTAATTTAAAGTAGGTAAAAATGAAAAAGACGCCAACAACACTAAACGTACTGCTCGATGCTAAAACTATATTTTAGGCAGAATCACAGGCCGCAAAGTTTTGCAAACCGCTAAGATCAGATCTACTTCAAGTTTTAAAAAGAACGCTTTTCTTTTTTTTCTTCCTGGTATGCTTATCCAAACGTACAGCTCTTAAACCTGTTCGCGGCGGGATGTGAAAACCAGTATCCTTGATGGCTATATTTTTTATTTCCTTGAAACACTATTTAATTGCCAGTCTTTAGCTAATGTAGATTTGAAAATTCACCTGCACATATACAAACATAAATATTACTGTACTGACGGTTTAATGAAAAGATTCCATAGAACTAGATACCAGGTAGTTATTCGTCCATCGTTAACAATAAGAAATAGCATAATCAGAAAAGGCTTACCCTGAAGACTTACAGAATGAGAAAATCGTAATTATAAAACTTTTTGAAAAGCAAAACACGGTCAATGTATAATGCGTCAGTTGCTGGGTGTCCCTGTGGTATGAGATACAGGTGGGACTGCGGTTTGCCAGTTGGCTCGGCGCCAGACCACAGCATCCATTTCGCAGGTGGCGATACGACTGCAGCAGTACTGAGAGCAGAAGATATTTCGTTTTAAAGCTTCAATTGACCATGAAACAGGCTGAAAAAGTCTCCACGTATCCCAGCACTGGGGATCATATCTACGTCCTTCGTTCCTTGAGCTATACACATCATGGTAGGCAGTGTTTCCATTTTCCAACCTCTAAACGTAATACTGACGTTAACGTTTGTCATTTAACATACAAATTGAATACAGTAATCAGAGCCGCCATACACTTGGATAGTCAAAATTGCTTCGCGTTGGCAGTATGGGTATTTGATATTTTTTCCACTTTAATTACAGAAAATGAAGTAACAACAAAAAAAACTCTGCGTGGTCCTCCTTTAGATGTGTTTCAACGGAAAAATGTCTGGCAGTTCAAAAATTGATTTAATTTGCTTGCTGAAACTTTATGTGCTATCCTTTAGCCGTGTTACAAAAGTAAAGTAGGATATTAACACAACAAGTACTTTTGAGCAATTTTGATTACAATGAGTTTGATGTGACTTCAAGAAAGCTGCCAGATAGTGATGTAGAGCGGTAACCAAACTAGCGCGGACACTGGAAAAGTTATACAGGACACTAACCCATATGAAGCTATGTGACTTACTAATGTATTCAACTTTAAATTGCTTCAAAGAATTTAAGGATGTCTCCTGTCGCACCTCGGGACTTCACAGTCTTCAGTTAAATTCTTCAAACAGTTACTGCCAAACTTCAAAACCTCGCAACCTATTTTAGAAGAGGGTGGCAAAGAGTTTACGCGTGACTCAAGATGAGGGCAAAAATTACTGTGTGACGCGTGGGAAGTAACTAAAAGGTGCTTGAGTTTACGAAAAAAAAAAACATTTTTATCGGTAGCTCAAAGCATATCTGAGGCGTAAATTTTGTTAAAAGTCTTTCATGAAACTTGATCACACACCTTCCCCCCCCCCCTTCCCAACTCCTGCAAAACTCTTAGAATAGCCAGATAGCTAACTACCGGTTAACTCGAAATCTAAGTCACCATGCAGATGCTTTTATCGATCGATGCAAGTACCCAAGAAATAAATCCATTGTTTTTTCACTATAGACCTCTCGTTCTTTGTAACAGGTATCTACATGGGTGATAGCAAAGTGGTGCATTTTCAAACCCCTCTTGAAACAGGACGGATGGAAAGTTCGGAGATCGTAGAAAGCGATTTTCAAGAGTTCCTTGGACCTGAAAGCTCAGACTGGTACTTGTATAAATACGGCGCCACTGAGGAAGAATTCAGCGGAAATCCGCGTGGGACATGCACAACTAGACACAGTGAAGAGCTGGAAACTGTGCTTGAACGCGCGCGCCTGGCATTGCGGGAAGGATTTGGGCAGTTCAATATAGTGGGTAGTAACTGCGAGGACTTTGCTTTGTACTGCAAGACGGGACAGCGATCCCAGACCAGCGGTCAGTACTTATCAGCCATGCGCAGAATAGAGGCCGCTCGCCAGGCTGCAGCTACTGGTTACAAGAGTCCTATAGTGTACGCTGGCTGTGTCTTGGGCTGGTTCACAGCCAAGGATTTTGGAATAAACTCCGAAAGTTCAACAAACGATGAGAAAGGTGAAGAAATGCCATTGAAAAGCAAGTAGGGTTAATATAACTCTACACCCGCATGGTTGAATAGTAACCATGATGGCGAACTGAAGTTGGAATGTCTCAACTGAATGAAATTCAGATTAAAGAAGGACTCCATCAGAAGTTCGAATAACAAGTGGACAAAAACTTTGTACCGAGATTATTTACTCTGTATTACAAACTTCTATCGGACTGTTTTAAACATCTTCTAAAAATGTCGAAAACAAATTTTGAAGTTCAAATGAAACACTTGAAAGTGCTGCTGAAATGAAACTGATGATGACATTTTACCAGTGATTGCACAATTTCCCTGAACTTTGAAACTTATTTTCTCGAGTTCTCATGGGAAATTGTTTTCGGTGTTATCTCAGACAACGATTTATACAGTATATTTAGCTTCAAGAAAATGTAAAAAGGCCTGTAAATACCTGAAATTATTCTGGTACAAGATTTCTGTCCATTAAAAACTGAAATTGCTCGATTTCCTATCGGATTTCGCCTTAATTTCGCACACAAACACAGCCAACTGACGTCATAAGAAAACCACATGAAAGTGAGAAAATATTACCAAGCAGCGAATACCACGTGACCTGTTTGTCAGCAGGCTTGCTGATGATCAAGAGTGATGGAAACTTGACAAATAGGATTAACAATAAAATACACTACTATACAACACGGAGCGACTGAAGAACAAGTTTATTTGATAAATAATTGTAATTTTACGATAATTCAACATCTTATTGACTTTATGTCTCAGTTCTTGGTACGTGACACGATTTTGCCTGGCCTCACACCGACCTGATCGCTTCACCCCCAAGCTCGGTACTGAATTTTATACATTTTCAAGTTTAATTCTTGCTGAGACAATTTGATTTTAGATCAATATTATTCTTTTTTTACTAGGTTCGATTTCCACCGCTCCCATTTTCCCAAACAGCGGTTGAAACACTAGCCTTGTTTTTACCCTGATATTTTTTCCTCTTTTTCGTAACTAGCCTTCTTGAATTTGTAATAAAAAGGTAAAGACAAACGTTAGCAATAAATTACATAACGTCAACGGTTCATAACTACTACTCATTCTGAGCCGTCCCGAGTGGCATGAAACTTCACTGAAGCCGAGTTGTTATAAATTTTTCGGGAACACAGCCTCCTGTAATAAATCGTTCACCATTCCTACACTATTGTCGCAAATCTTTTTCCTTCAACATTTTCTTGCGACGCTCCTTTCCTCAAATACTCCCGAGTCTCTACCCTTTTTCGTAAAATGTACGCGCTTTTACTCAGCCAAATTATCCGTGAGTCAAGACCATAGGTTACAGAACTCAAGAAGCATCTTTAGATTAATTTCTTCCGTATTTACAAAGGTATTCAAGAAAGGTAAGCTGCCACAAGGATTTGCCTCTGACTGGCTGTGTTCGTTTGTTTGTTTGTTTTCAACAGCACAATGGGTTATGAACTCTGAAAGAGAAATAACACATGACTATTCAGTTTGCATTTCACGTGAACCTGCTCTTTCCAGTAAATACATTCTCGGTGGCTTAGTGAAATGTGAAAAAAAAACCTCTCCCGCAGTACTTACAGGCCTTCATAGCAAGGTAGGAATCTAACTGCTCCTGCATGGCTATAGCTAGAACATCACGATCAGCCTGAAAACGAATGACGCATAAGCAAACAAGACCAATAATCACGGAAAACAATCGGGAAAGATCTCTGGCGGAAAGCGTCTTAAAAAATTACGGACGTGATAGGAGCCATGTCACAAAAAAGTCCTAAAATTCAATTTTAAACTTTGCTCAAGTTTGTAGTTAGGTACCTTGTTTACGAGTCCACATCTGATCAAATCATCGGCCAGATCTCCTCCCTTGTCACCTGTAAACCAAACAGCATTAAAAGTTTTCTTTGTCTACAGCACAGCAGTTTAGATGACTTTCAACCTATCAGAGCAGGCGTTATATCATTGAGAGTTTATTACAGAGAATATTGTACCTGGACGTATATCACACATAAGATGTCTATTCATCTTGTCATCCAACTTGAGAAGTAGTTCCAACTGTGAAAGGAAACCAGCACTTCAGATATTAGTCATAAAAGAATTTTGAATTCCTTTGGGTCGGTCGTGTTGGTATTGCTGGTAATCTACTGTGATGGTTTGACGTTTTACAAACAAAGAATATCCTATCCTACATCTCTTTATGCCATAAGGCACATAAGGCTTTAAAATACAAAGAATATATGAAACTTTATCTGCATGCCGATTTTGAATTTCCAGCATCCGAATCAGGCTATAGAAACCTCTGATCCTTCAATGAGTTTTACATTAACGTTCTGATGTTCAAACAAAATCGTTTTTCAGTGTCATTTGACAATCTGTGCCCTGCATCCGAATTTTAACACACCGATCTTGGAAGGATACTTTGGTACAATGATTAATGCTTCTTATGATGAGTATATGATGCAAGAAACACTGGATAGTAAGAAGTTTTGGCCATAGACGCGATCAGGTGCAAAACGTCGATTTGAATTCTAAGGCAATTCACTGACCAAACTGATTTTATCACTTGCTGCTCTCTCCCTTCTGAGTTACTCACTGACCTGGCTTTGGTATTTACTATCTCCACCCTCCTGAGGCATCATTTTGATGTGACATTTATTTATGATTGCCTGTTAACAACAACAGTAACAAAGTTAACATTCAAACGAGATCCTAAGCCATAAAGCCAACCACTGTTCATCATTTGCCAGCTACAGTGTCGCTGTCCACACGAGGCTCTGATAGTCTTGCTAAAAAAAATGCCTGAAGCAATTTTGTACCAACTTGTGTCACCAACAAAAAAGATTTCAGTAACCTGTTTCAGGCATACACGCTTATCCAGTGTTTTTCTTTTTGCTGCTCTCCTGCGTGGCAGGCGTTCAAATGGGAGGGACAGTGGGAAACAGAAGCGCGAAGTGAGATTGGAGGGAGAGGGAACCACTCCGTCCCCCTCTGATCATGCTTTGCGCTTCTTTGGACAAAAGATGAATTTTACCCTTCTTGTTTCTTCATCATAGTGATCATCTTTTTCATTTAGTACAGACTCCACATCTTCAGGAGACTTGGGTCTACAACATCAACACAACACTCATGATTACCTTTCTCTGCAGTTCAAATATATGATCCCTCATATATTCACTTGTAACAATCAATCTATCAACCACTCTTATAAAAACTTAATAAATAAATGGTAAAGTTTAGACCTTTTAACAGCTTGTAGGGGGCTGTGTACAACTAAAAATTCAAAAAGATAAATAGGATGTATGAAGAATAAGTTCTCTCTAGGATTGGTAAAAAGGTGAAGACTGCATTCGAGCCAAGTGGCCCATCAGGCCAGCGCTTTTCTCCAGTTTCAGTGCCATGAAACCTGGATGGGATGCTAGTCCGTTGCAGGGTTACTCCCAGCACAATATTTGCTGGTACCCATTTACACACCTGGGTGGAGAGGCACAGTGAGAGTTAAGCGTCTTGCCCTAGAACACAACACAATGTCCCCGGCCGGGGCTTGAGCCCGGACCGCTTGATATGGAGGCGAGTGAACTACCCATGAGGCCACCATGCCTCTCTAGGATTGGTGACAAGGATAATTCATTAAAAGTAATGAATATCAGTAAGGAGAATTTTGGGGTTGATCAGTCAACACCCACCTTTGTCTTGGTCTTGATTCTTTTCTTTGTTGCATTCCAGTCAGAGGAAAAAGGCCATTTCTAAATAAAGATATACACAACAATTTGTGTTTTTATGTAAAACACACCCCCAGATAAAATTTCCGAGATATTAAGATCTCTTGTTAAACAAATAAATATTATTATGGGTTGATTTACCCTGTGCCCAGTCCTGTAACCCCTGTTTGTATCTTGGGAACCAGCATATAACAAGCCTTGTACCTTCTAGTAATATATTTTCTATAATCATTATGGCAGATAAGCTTAACAAAACTTGACCACATTTTAAGTACCGGTACTTGATTTTTCTATGACTCACCTTACTTCTTCCAAATACTTCTCAAGTTCCAGAGCAGGAGATTTGCCTCGTCTAAAAACCCAGAAAACATAAGAAGTTAAATTATGAACAGACAATATTTCTGATTGACTATGAAACCTCTCAAGGCTTACAAGATGTGCCATACATTGTAGCTCTACCCCTCCTCTAAGCTATATAATATACTCTCACTATCATATTGCAGTCATTATCTTACTTCCAATTTTGATCCTTTCCAATGACAGCCAGCACTCTCTCTGGATCAGTATCTTCACCCTTGTCGGGAGGAGACACTGAAAAACAATATTGTTGACAGAATAAGACCAAAATCACTAACCATGATCAGAAGACTCTTTGCAAAAATGTTCTGGCCACTAATCAACCTTCAATGCTTACTTTATGCAAACACAAGTAAGCCAAGAAAAAAAATGTGAAAATCTGTGAAAAATACAAACAATTTTCAGCCAGAATAATGTTTGTACTAAAACCATCCTTACCATCATTGTCCACCATACAGTGAGCTGACAACAACTTGAGTGAATGANCCCCCCCCCCCCCCCTTCCCAACTCCTGCAAAACTCTTAGAATAGCCAGATAGCTAACTACCGGTTAACTCGAAATCTAAGTCACCATGCAGATGCTTTTATCGATCGATGCAAGTACCCAAGAAATAAATCCATTGTTTTTTCACTATAGACCTCTCGTTCTTTGTAACAGGTATCTACATGGGTGATAGCAAAGTGGTGCATTTTCAAACCCCTCTTGAAACAGGACGGATGGAAAGTTCGGAGATCGTAGAAAGCGATTTTCAAGAGTTCCTTGGACCTGAAAGCTCAGACTGGTACTTGTATAAATACGGCGCCACTGAGGAAGAATTCAGCGGAAATCCGCGTGGGACATGCACAACTAGACACAGTGAAGAGCTGGAAACTGTGCTTGAACGCGCGCGCCTGGCATTGCGGGAAGGATTTGGGCAGTTCAATATAGTGGGTAGTAACTGCGAGGACTTTGCTTTGTACTGCAAGACGGGACAGCGATCCCAGACCAGCGGTCAGTACTTATCAGCCATGCGCAGAATAGAGGCCGCTCGCCAGGCTGCAGCTACTGGTTACAAGAGTCCTATAGTGTACGCTGGCTGTGTCTTGGGCTGGTTCACAGCCAAGGATTTTGGAATAAACTCCGAAAGTTCAACAAACGATGAGAAAGGTGAAGAAATGCCATTGAAAAGCAAGTAGGGTTAATATAACTCTACACCCGCATGGTTGAATAGTAACCATGATGGCGAACTGAAGTTGGAATGTCTCAACTGAATGAAATTCAGATTAAAGAAGGACTCCATCAGAAGTTCGAATAACAAGTGGACAAAAACTTTGTACCGAGATTATTTACTCTGTATTACAAACTTCTATCGGACTGTTTTAAACATCTTCTAAAAATGTCGAAAACAAATTTTGAAGTTCAAATGAAACACTTGAAAGTGCTGCTGAAATGAAACTGATGATGACATTTTACCAGTGATTGCACAATTTCCCTGAACTTTGAAACTTATTTTCTCGAGTTCTCATGGGAAATTGTTTTCGGTGTTATCTCAGACAACGATTTATACAGTATATTTAGCTTCAAGAAAATGTAAAAAGGCCTGTAAATACCTGAAATTATTCTGGTACAAGATTTCTGTCCATTAAAAACTGAAATTGCTCGATTTCCTATCGGATTTCGCCTTAATTTCGCACACAAACACAGCCAACTGACGTCATAAGAAAACCACATGAAAGTGAGAAAATATTACCAAGCAGCGAATACCACGTGACCTGTTTGTCAGCAGGCTTGCTGATGATCAAGAGTGATGGAAACTTGACAAATAGGATTAACAATAAAATACACTACTATACAACACGGAGCGACTGAAGAACAAGTTTATTTGATAAATAATTGTAATTTTACGATAATTCAACATCTTATTGACTTTATGTCTCAGTTCTTGGTACGTGACACGATTTTGCCTGGCCTCACACCGACCTGATCGCTTCACCCCCAAGCTCGGTACTGAATTTTATACATTTTCAAGTTTAATTCTTGCTGAGACAATTTGATTTTAGATCAATATTATTCTTTTTTTACTAGGTTCGATTTCCACCGCTCCCATTTTCCCAAACAGCGGTTGAAACACTAGCCTTGTTTTTACCCTGATATTTTTTCCTCTTTTTCGTAACTAGCCTTCTTGAATTTGTAATAAAAAGGTAAAGACAAACGTTAGCAATAAATTACATAACGTCAACGGTTCATAACTACTACTCATTCTGAGCCGTCCCGAGTGGCATGAAACTTCACTGAAGCCGAGTTGTTATAAATTTTTCGGGAACACAGCCTCCTGTAATAAATCGTTCACCATTCCTACACTATTGTCGCAAATCTTTTTCCTTCAACATTTTCTTGCGACGCTCCTTTCCTCAAATACTCCCGAGTCTCTACCCTTTTTCGTAAAATGTACGCGCTTTTACTCAGCCAAATTATCCGTGAGTCAAGACCATAGGTTACAGAACTCAAGAAGCATCTTTAGATTAATTTCTTCCGTATTTACAAAGGTATTCAAGAAAGGTAAGCTGCCACAAGGATTTGCCTCTGACTGGCTGTGTTCGTTTGTTTGTTTGTTTTCAACAGCACAATGGGTTATGAACTCTGAAAGAGAAATAACACATGACTATTCAGTTTGCATTTCACGTGAACCTGCTCTTTCCAGTAAATACATTCTCGGTGGCTTAGTGAAATGTGAAAAAAAAACCTCTCCCGCAGTACTTACAGGCCTTCATAGCAAGGTAGGAATCTAACTGCTCCTGCATGGCTATAGCTAGAACATCACGATCAGCCTGAAAACGAATGACGCATAAGCAAACAAGACCAATAATCACGGAAAACAATCGGGAAAGATCTCTGGCGGAAAGCGTCTTAAAAAATTACGGACGTGATAGGAGCCATGTCACAAAAAAGTCCTAAAATTCAATTTTAAACTTTGCTCAAGTTTGTAGTTAGGTACCTTGTTTACGAGTCCACATCTGATCAAATCATCGGCCAGATCTCCTCCCTTGTCACCTGTAAACCAAACAGCATTAAAAGTTTTCTTTGTCTACAGCACAGCAGTTTAGATGACTTTCAACCTATCAGAGCAGGCGTTATATCATTGAGAGTTTATTACAGAGAATATTGTACCTGGACGTATATCACACATAAGATGTCTATTCATCTTGTCATCCAACTTGAGAAGTAGTTCCAACTGTGAAAGGAAACCAGCACTTCAGATATTAGTCATAAAAGAATTTTGAATTCCTTTGGGTCGGTCGTGTTGGTATTGCTGGTAATCTACTGTGATGGTTTGACGTTTTACAAACAAAGAATATCCTATCCTACATCTCTTTATGCCATAAGGCACATAAGGCTTTAAAATACAAAGAATATATGAAACTTTATCTGCATGCCGATTTTGAATTTCCAGCATCCGAATCAGGCTATAGAAACCTCTGATCCTTCAATGAGTTTTACATTAACGTTCTGATGTTCAAACAAAATCGTTTTTCAGTGTCATTTGACAATCTGTGCCCTGCATCCGAATTTTAACACACCGATCTTGGAAGGATACTTTGGTACAATGATTAATGCTTCTTATGATGAGTATATGATGCAAGAAACACTGGATAGTAAGAAGTTTTGGCCATAGACGCGATCAGGTGCAAAACGTCGATTTGAATTCTAAGGCAATTCACTGACCAAACTGATTTTATCACTTGCTGCTCTCTCCCTTCTGAGTTACTCACTGACCTGGCTTTGGTATTTACTATCTCCACCCTCCTGAGGCATCATTTTGATGTGACATTTATTTATGATTGCCTGTTAACAACAACAGTAACAAAGTTAACATTCAAACGAGATCCTAAGCCATAAAGCCAACCACTGTTCATCATTTGCCAGCTACAGTGTCGCTGTCCACACGAGGCTCTGATAGTCTTGCTAAAAAAAATGCCTGAAGCAATTTTGTACCAACTTGTGTCACCAACAAAAAAGATTTCAGTAACCTGTTTCAGGCATACACGCTTATCCAGTGTTTTTCTTTTTGCTGCTCTCCTGCGTGGCAGGCGTTCAAATGGGAGGGACAGTGGGAAACAGAAGCGCGAAGTGAGATTGGAGGGAGAGGGAACCACTCCGTCCCCCTCTGATCATGCTTTGCGCTTCTTTGGACAAAAGATGAATTTTACCCTTCTTGTTTCTTCATCATAGTGATCATCTTTTTCATTTAGTACAGACTCCACATCTTCAGGAGACTTGGGTCTACAACATCAACACAACACTCATGATTACCTTTCTCTGCAGTTCAAATATATGATCCCTCATATATTCACTTGTAACAATCAATCTATCAACCACTCTTATAAAAACTTAATAAATAAATGGTAAAGTTTAGACCTTTTAACAGCTTGTAGGGGGCTGTGTACAACTAAAAATTCAAAAAGATAAATAGGATGTATGAAGAATAAGTTCTCTCTAGGATTGGTAAAAAGGTGAAGACTGCATTCGAGCCAAGTGGCCCATCAGGCCAGCGCTTTTCTCCAGTTTCAGTGCCATGAAACCTGGATGGGATGCTAGTCCGTTGCAGGGTTACTCCCAGCATAATATTTGCTGGTACCCATTTACACACCTGGGTGGAGAGGCACAGTGAGAGTTAAGCGTCTTGCCCTAGAACACAACACAATGTCCCCGGCCGGGGCTTGAGCCCGGACCGCTTGATATGGAGGCGAGTGAACTACCCATGAGGCCACCATGCCTCTCTAGGATTGGTGACAAGGATAATTCATTAAAAGTAATGAATATCAGTAAGGAGAATTTTGGGGTTGATCAGTCAACACCCACCTTTGTCTTGGTCTTGATTCTTTTCTTTGTTGCATTCCAGTCAGAGGAAAAAGGCCATTTCTAAATAAAGATATACACAACAATTTGTGTTTTTATGTAAAACACACCCCCAGATAAAATTTCCGAGATATTAAGATCTCTTGTTAAACAAATAAATATTATTATGGGTTGATTTACCCTGTGCCCAGTCCTGTAACCCCTGTTTGTATCTTGGGAACCAGCATATAACAAGCCTTGTACCTTCTAGTAATATATTTTCTATAATCATTATGGCAGATAAGCTTAACAAAACTTGACCACATTTTAAGTACCGGTACTTGATTTTTCTATGACTCACCTTACTTCTTCCAAATACTTCTCAAGTTCCAGAGCAGGAGATTTGCCTCGTCTAAAAACCCAGAAAACATAAGAAGTTAAATTATGAACAGACAATATTTCTGATTGACTATGAAACCTCTCAAGGCTTACAAGATGTGCCATACATTGTAGCTCTACCCCTCCTCTAAGCTATATAATATACTCTCACTATCATATTGCAGTCATTATCTTACTTCCAATTTTGATCCTTTCCAATGACAGCCAGCACTCTCTCTGGATCAGTATCTTCACCCTTGTCGGGAGGAGACACTGAAAAACAATATTGTTGACAGAATAAGACCAAAATCACTAACCATGATCAGAAGACTCTTTGCAAAAATGTTCTGGCCACTAATCAACCTTCAATGCTTACTTTATGCAAACACAAGTAAGCCAAGAAAAAAAATGTGAAAATCTGTGAAAAATACAAACAATTTTCAGCCAGAATAATGTTTGTACTAAAACCATCCTTACCATCATTGTCCACCATACAGTGAGCTGACAACAACTTGAGTGAATGAACCTAAACCAAACAAGGGGCAAACCATCAGTATAAACAATCAGTGAGTATACAATGGAACCACGCCTTACGACCACCCTTACATGTATATGGCCACCATGTTAGTATGGCCACTCATTTCTGGCTCTCAAAAAATGCCTAGTCAGTCACTTAACCCCGCTCCTTAATTCAGTGACATATTATTGTGATCATACTGTGGTTATCTTGAAACCCTTTTTTTTCTGTAACATATTTCTTTGTCAAGATTCATTTGCTTTCTTAAGAGCTTTCTTTCAATGAAAGTTTGTACATGTAGTTAAAACCAGTCACCAAAAAGAAAAAAATGGTCGAGAGCCAACTTTGGCTTTCCAAATCCTAACTAACCATTCATTCTAAACTTACCACAAACAAGCCCGGATGCAATAACAAGTCCCTTGCAGTAGGTCTTTCAGCAGGATTTTCAGCCAAACACCTCCGTATAAAATCCTGTTGATATACAGTGCAAGTGTCACTAAGACCTTAGAGTATTAGAGGAATTTCATGGACTTGACAAGATGTTTGAAAAAACCCCAGAAAGTACTGTCTGATCACTTGTAAAGATGTACAAGCCTTAGGGTGTAACGATCATTGCTACTTCTACTACTACCGCATTTTCTCGATTAAACACTCCTGGCGTTTATTTTAAACTTGACTTACGGGTCAGGTGTTTATTGACTTTTGCAGTTTATTCGAGCATGGAGTTTATTAGAGTTTTTATTCACTATTTTTAGAGCTTTAAAATATCTTATAATAATATTATACCTAAAGCTTACTATAACTTGAATAGAAATCCTTGAGGGTCTTATTTATGAATCTGTGTGTGAGACCCAGCGTTTATTTGAGACCCGGTGTTTGATTGAGAAAATATGGTAGGTCCTCAAATACTATCTAACATTACTCTAAGTCAACTCACAAATAATCAGACAACATTTGTTGTACTTGTACCTTTTGGTGTGGCTGTTCTAATCCATCAATAGCTTTGTAGATATTTTCTCGTAACACTGGCCCGTCGGTGTCATGCAGTTCTAAAGCTGCCATCTGTAAGATGCCACATTTGCAGTGTCCATTGGTTGAAAAGAAAATACTGAATAACTCCTTTAATAAGACTGACAGAACAGAGCAGGGCATGGACTCACAGAGATTCTAATTCAACAGCTTCATTTTATTTTTTTCATGGTACATGTGGTACTTCTTATTAACTGCCATATTCCAATTTCATTCTTCATACGCAATTGATGATAGATCAAGTAACATTTGAAACATGTTTTGTTGTCTTTTAAAAGTATTGATCACAGTTTTCTGAGAACATAACTCCATAATCTATATACTGACAAGAATTACCTCAAGTGCACATATCCCAAAAGCATAAATATCAACTGCACAGTCAATGACATGTCCAGGTTTTCCTGCGAGTAAAAATGTACAATCAAATTAAAACTGATTGTCAAATAATTTACCCTGTGCTCCAAATTTGGCTTATTTTACAAAACTATAAAAGTAAACTACTGCCACATCACAATGTCAGCAACGGTAACTGCCACTGATGTTACAATGTTTTTTTCAGTCCAAAAATTGAAATTTAAGTTCTCATCACTTTACTGAAAAAATATCCACTATTTTTTACTTTCTGCTATAATGGTAAATAAATAAAAATAAATAAATAAATAAATAATAGGAATTTGCAGTGGCACATTCCGCATTCTTCTGCAGAGCAGACCCTCTTTGTCTACTGTTTCCAGGTTGAACTGTGTAGTTCCAGAAAATGCTCATGCCTCACCCCTCCCCATCCCTCTGAAAATTCCAATTAAGCTTCATACATTTCTTTACATTTTTTGGTCTTAAAGAACCCCCCCCCCAACCCCAGGAAATTTCAGCCCTTTTTATGGTGAGGGGGGGGGGGGGGGGGNTTGTTGGTTTTTTTTCGTTGAGGGATGAAAACCAGGGAAACTAGAGAAAAACCCTGTGGTTAGTTCCAAAGTTAGAGTTAAGAATCTGAACACTTGATCACTTCCTGGACTGACAAAAACCTTAAATGCTATAATTATTTAAAGCAGACTGGAGTAAAATACCATATTCTGGGGCAATAAAATGCATATTCCGCCTTTCGTCTCGATAAGTCTTGACATGGTTATGAATGGTGTCAGGAGCAACTAGAAAAGTAACATGAAAACGTGATTAGCTGAGGGTATTAAGCCCTCATGATCAGACGTCCAGGTATTTGAGCATAGCCATGTGATAAGGCCACATTCATCATCAGTGCATTGTGTTTTAGAGTGCTCAGTGCAGTTGACTACACCTCACTCTCAAGGTTAAAATTATGAGGAGCCCAAACGTTCCTATGTGCCCAGCACTTAAGCTTATATGGAAAACGGAAGTTTTTTCAGTTGCTTAAAGGAAAAAGTTAGTCACCTGTGGCACCTGGGTGCTCCTAGAGCACAGCCCTGCAAGGTGCATAGCTCCAAGTTTAGCCGAGCTGTGATTTTAAATACATCCTGTTGATCCGTTTGAGAAATGCAAAAAAAAAAAAGTGTGCATGTCACTGAATGGAGAGGGTAAACTGCAATGGCATAGCTGCCTTGCCATTGTGCCATTGTGCTATTGTGCCATTGTGTGATTGTGCGAATGATGCTCTAAACACCTTATGCTTAAAAAACACAATTCACCAAACAATGCTGGGGTGGATCTGGGAGGGGGGGGCGTCAAATCCCCTACATTAAAAACAAATAAGACCATATATGACACGCTTACTTGGCTTCAGAATGCTGGAAATCCCATTTCTGAGGAACTCAATTTTAAGAATTTTCCAGGGAGAAAAATGCCTCCAGACCCCCCTACAGGGGACCGACTTTGGCAGTCCATGTCACAAAGCCCCTTCTCTAAATTCCTGTGTCCACCTCAGCAATAAGACAAGTTTGAATTCTGGATTGGTTACAGCCTAGTTAGCTACATCTTACTATGTATGACATAATGCACATTACCAGATCCAATCTTGATCAGCCCATTGTGCTGGATAAATATTGTATCACAGGACAAGTTCCCATGAACAATGGGTGTGTCACAGCCATGGAGATAGCTGCAAGAAAAATAGCGACAATACAAGACCGTTAGTAGAAAATGAATGTGGAGTGAATTCAATACTACCAATGTGAGTTATTATTTCTTAAAGGCTTGTGTAATAATAAAATGTGTATAAATATTATTGAGTTATTATTATTATTATTATTATTATTATTATTATTACTGAGTTATTATTTCTTAAAGGTTTGTGTAATAATAAAATGTGTATAAATGAATGGCTTAGTGCAAGACTGACGTAAGTGACTTTTTCGGGTGAAAAATGATTTTTTCGTTCAAAAGCGCCCAAATTTTTGCATGTGGTCTCCAACAWAATAGGAAAACATTGCCCTGTGTTTGTATTCCTTGTTTTTTTCGCCTGATGAACAAAACAAAGTGGAAAGTTTACTAGCCCTAGCCCTAGCCCTAGCCCTAGCCCTAGCCTTAACCCTAAACCCTAGCACTAAAACGGTAACCCTAACACTAAATGCTAACCCTAGGCCAAGGGTTAGGGTTTGCTTTTAGGTCTAACGCTAGCCGTGGGGTTATGTTACCTTTACTGTAACTGTCAAGCTATAGGCTCATCTTTCTTTAAGGCCCATGTTCATCCATTTCGTTTTGCGGCCTTGTATTATTGTTTTGAAGTCACCGTTGTCCTAATGTTTCTTTCTTTTTTTTCAAAGACAAAGCGTAAACCAGCTAAAAAAATGTACAGGGCTATGCTCTTCTATTCAAGTGAAGACGACACGCAAAAATTCGGGCGCTTTTGAACAAAAAAAATCATTTTTCACCCGAAAAAGTCACTTACGTCAGTCTTGCACCAAGCCATTCAAATAATATTCACTAACTGAGTTTTGGATAAAGAAGTATCATTTGAAATGGACCTTTACCTCAAAGCTGACAAAATTTGTCGTAACCATCTTTTCCACACCTATAATGAAATGATTTGAAAACAAAAACTAACAGTAAGTGACCTGACAAGAGAAATATTATGTCAAGTAAACTATTTCTTTATCAATTGGTTGGCTGCATTACAAATAGCCCATAGTGAAATATACTTTGTTGGTCAAAATGCTCCCAGAGTATGTAAATTTGCATACTTTTGTAATGTGTACAGAGACTACTCAGATCTTGAGTACAAATGGAATTTAATACAGGTCTGTTTTGTAGGCCAATAGGAAGTTGGCCCACTCATCAGTTGACTTCCATAAACACAGAAGCCTACTAAAATACACATCAACAATGTGATTGTGCAAGATGCACTAAACCGTTTACAACAAAACATTGTTACAAAACATTGTAAAAAAAAGTTACAATCAATCATTGCATGTTCGCATGAACTTAAAATGAACTTTAAAACTAATGTGCGCACTACAAATATTTGTGTTTTTTATTTCTCCACTTGAAGATTTGAACACTGTATTGTTAAAAACAAAGTGCAGTGAAAGGAACATGGAAAGGGCATCTTGGAGAACCTCTGGAGTTTTATATTTCTTGTTGGGGGCATGCCATTACACTCCCTTGTATTTCTTTACCTATTACATGTATTTATACAGCCCCCTGTTTCTGAATTTCTGGATGTGCCTCTTGAATGAATTTAGCCCGAAAATAATTACTTAAATGAAAGACTTTTTATCTGTAAGATTGTAAATCAAAATTGATACCTTTTCATTCAATGTCTTATAATTACTCTTTCGCGTCTTCTTCAGGAACTGTTTCAGCGAACCAGATGTCATGTATTCAGTGATAAAGATGACGCGAGGTTTTTCAGACCTGGTATCCGTCCAGAACTTATGGAATTTAACAATGTTTGCATGCTATCAAATGTAAAACAAAATGAATACATAAGTGAGGATGTCTTCCCAAAAATGAATACCCTTGTTCAATATTTTATCGCAATGTGCAGTTCTAGAATGTATCCACACCCACCTCAAGGAACGTTCACGAAGATTCCAAGGGGGAGGGGGGTCTCAAAAGTCAAAACTTTTAAAGGAAAGTATGAGGCTAAACCAAAATTTCCGGGGGGGTTGGACGGGGATTCAAACCAAAAACTTCTTCATGGGACTGGTATGGATACTTTCTGGAACAACACAATGGCTTAGTGTGCCAAGCTTCATGCATTTCAGTGTATTTTCAACAGACTTGTAAGTTACTGACTCATTTGTCAATAAAGAATGCCAAAACGAATCAATCAAAGATCTGATTTATATATTATGTACAAGAGCTTCCAGTATGGAGTCAAGGGTTTCATTTCAATACTTACATCCAGTTGAATCAGATTTTCAAAGACAGCTTTCACATTTTCCTATACAAAAAAAACAACAACAACAAAAAAACATGATTCATGGATAAATTACTTTAAAAATGTTTTATTCAGACCATCACTGAGTAGCAAATGGCACCATGAAACAAAAGCCAGAACATCTGTGTTCACAGGCTACCAACAAGCCTGTTGGTATAAAAATTACTATAATGGGCAGGGAGTCAATTTTTATACTACTGATTTCTCAAGGGCAGTTCAAGTGTGTATATTATTATACTATATATTATAAGAAGCAAGACAGATAGCTGAATTTTTTCTGAAGGAGATTATTGGATTTTTATTAAATCGACTGCAGAGGGAAACAACAAGGTAGAAAAGGGCAGGTCACTTGCATGTATATAGTTATTGAATATAGGAAATTTTTTCAATTGACAAAAATTCAATACCTCTTGACTCTTGAAGGATTTCCTTTCAGAAAACTGCACTTCATTCCAAACCACCTCGACTCCTTCTTCTGTGTCCATGGCTAAGAATGAATGATCAATGCCTGGGACATCCCTCTGCATTACCTTAATAACAGCCGCAGGTAAAAAAATATGAATATCAACAGACATTAAAGAACTGATCCAGCTGATCCACCTACAGATAAGCAGCCACTCTTGCAAAAGAACAGGAGAACACACTGGAAAGATGAACACCTTTAGGATGTCCGTGTCTGTATATGGCTTGAAATATGACAAACTGTCTGTCTTTCATAGGAAAGTAATTTGACAACGAAATCTTAAAAATTCCCTTAAAAACTCTGCCTAGGTAAACTTATTTCTCGCAAGTGTTTTAGGCTTAAATATGGCGGATTTTCATTGCAAAAAGAGATCAAATTAGCAAGCAGTGCTATATGTGTTGATCCCATTGTGATGCTGGTTGAAAACGCAAGTTGAGAAAAATTAATCAATTCTTTAAAAAAAAAACACACACACACACACACACTGACGACAGAATTTAATTAGGTTTTATGACTGGGAGAGAATCTTATCTATCCAGTTCTAAAACCATACCGGCATATTGCTTACCTCTTGCCTTCGCTTCTCCCATCGTCCACAAGGACTTTGTTCGACTACATCGTCATCATCATCCTCACTTTCGTCTCCAGAATGTTCAAGATGAACCTCAATGGTACCAAGTGTGAGATTGTTGGCCATTTCGGTATTTTACCTGAGACAATTTTAACGGATGCCACCACACTTTCACTCAAACATGGCCGACTGTGGAACCAGCAACACTCCTCTGTGAGTGTTACATTACGTACTTATTGAGGTTTGAGTTAACGGCTGACCGTCAAGGTGGTTGTACGGAACGATTGAACGGCTCGTATTTCTGGATGGTGCGGATTTCCCCAGGGTGATGGCCATAAAAATATTTGTCTTTCTTCCAACGACACGTTCAGACATACAGTTCTGAAGAAGAGAGATTGCAGGCAGACTTTTTGCTTCATCCCGTTACATTTTCCGTGTAAGAAAGTATTATCTTCGCAAAATTCTTGTGTAACTGCAGCCTGTGGTTTGTATGCATGTTGTCAATTTCGTTTTCGTTTTGGGTGGATGTGTGGTGGTAGCAGACCCAGCTTGAATATTATTAGTTATTGTAACTTTTGATTTACCGGAATAGTTGTCAAGGTAGCTGGTTTCAATATTCTGAATATTTCATGAAGGATTTCTGGTATTCTCAGTTCTCCGCAAGCAATCCCTTGCAGGTGGTATAAACTGCACGTGATCTTGTCAATTAAAACAATAATTAGCCCTAGCATTAATGAAAAGAGCGAGCAAATTAATGAGCAGTGTATATTTGAGCTATTTGTTTGGAAAGTTGGGAAGGAATAAATGATTATCGGTAGTGTAGTAATTCTCACACCTTTTTTGTACATGTACGCTTTAGTCAAGCCGTGGTATTTTTACTAAAACAGTCAAGCCAAAAAACTAATGGCGACACCAACGTTGCTTGATATTGCACCAAAGCATATGCAATAACGTATTTATTGCACCCACATTTGGTGACAATCTTTCCATATGAAGTCAGTAACTTGATATCACAGTCGGGATATTGGGGTAGTAGACAAGGCTTCTGATTGGCTAATTGCAAATTTGGGTATGGTAAGGCTAGCACTGTGTGGTACCTATGAGTTCAGCTGACCCCTTGTTGTGAAAGGGTCCTTTACAAATGATTATACATTACATCCACATCAATGCAAGGTCTGGAACTGAGAAACGTTTGGAAATTGTTTTCTACAAAATTTTTCATTTTCTAAGTTCTAGGAATTTTGTAAGGTCCTATTACTTTGATGATGATGATGATGATGATGATGATGATGATGACTATTATTATTAGTAGTAGTGCTGTTTTACCAATCAAGCTCTTGGAATTTTCCAGATTTCTTGGTTGTCTCACATGTTTAAGGTCTAAACCATGCACTTGCTGATCACACTGAAAAAAAGTCAAAAACTTGTATAAATATAAATGAATGTTGTTGTTAATAGTTCTTGTTATACAACGTAGATATTTATCTTTAACTTGCATATTTCTAGTGCGTTGTCCAAGCATGTCTCGTGGTGAGTTTGGAGGTCCATCGTATGGCACCCTCTCTGACAGCAATGCTGCCGTAGGTTATGGCAGGCCTTCGTCATCAAGATACCAAGGTAATGACCTTTTTGATCATTAGGTAGCCTCGCCAGTAACACATTCGCTACCAAGTATTTTCATCAGTGTATGTAATTTTTCAAATACCACACCAGTTGCAAAGTGGCTATGCAAGTAAGTCATGTGATTTAATTTATAAGCAGCTACTGAAGCAAACTGTTCAAACAAGTTACATCCGACAAAATCATATATTGTGAAATTATAATTTAAATTATAATTTTAACTGTAATTAAACTTGTGCACCTCTGTCATGTTGTGATCCTTCTGGACTAGTTTCTTTCCATATTCTTGGAAACTGCATGTATTCATTTGGGGAAATATGATATTACTCATTATTTTATTTGTTACTGATTCTAGGTGATACTGGGGAAAGATTTCAAAATCTCAGTGACTCAGTTAGCAGTAACATCTTCCAGATTAACAACAACAGTAAGTATTGTAAAGATGTGCAACGGAGACAGATAAGACGTCAGTGATATCTTCTTTTCAAAAGCATGTAAAAATTGTGAAAAAAGTCCAAAGTCCCTGATGGGAATTGAACCTACTGCACAATGTAAGAGTTTCATAGGAAGCATTCCTGTTTACCTCTCTTGTTGTCAGATCTTGATGCTGGGTTCAAATATCCAAATGGTCTTTTCCCAGACCTTTTTTGTTTTTATCATTGCCAATGTTTCTGACAAGTGCATTCAAAACTGCAACATCTTGGACCATCAGGAGATATTAGAATCTATGTGATGATGTGGAATTGTAAAGCTTCAAGTTGGAGCACGTTGTTATGTCACTTACCTCAGCCACCTGGATATTGAATACAACTGGAACAACTTAGTGAACCCAAAAATGTTATGTTTGGGGCATGTAATGAACACAACATTTGTTTTGACAACTTACATGTGGTGTACTATTTATAATAGGTGTATTTTTAATTGCATTGGAAATTGTTCTTTTATAACTCTATAACAATTATTGTCGCCTTCCTTCTCAATTTTCTTTATAGCCTCAGCATTGGAGCGCACACTTAAGCAGTTAATTGGAGGCAAGGATAGCCAAGAGGAAAAACTGTAAGTTAATTTTATTCCTGTGATTCTGTACTCTGTCTGCTCTGTCCAAATGATCCTCAGTGTCAGGAATCAGTGCCAGTATTAATTCTATCTTTAGTTAATGTTATGTTGTATTTCTCTTCTCCACAGACATAGAATACAACAAGCTACAAATGAACTTGCCAGTAAGACAACTTTGCTCTTAAAGGAGATGAGTTCTCTTTGCGGTGGAAGCAGCCCAACTGCAGTGAGTTCAATAACATTTAGAGCTTTACAGTTTTCCTGCCATAGTGACTGTGCTGCATATATCCCTGAGCTGTCACTGAGTTTACTTTGTGGGAAAATTGTATCAACAAAAGACAAGTTCTCCCCTAACATCAAGGGAAAATCAAGCATACTCAGCCATGACAGGTGTTATGGGTTACAGCCCTTTATGACCGCCCTGTATCCATGTTATTGATGTAGCCATAAAAAAAAAGAAAAAAAGTGTTGCATGCTATAGTTTTTATAAGATGTCAGACAAATTTAAATGAATGTGGACCACTATAAACGTACTGTCAACTGAATTGATGAATGCATCAGCTTTATTTGTATAGAAGGAGGGAAGAGCCATAATTTATTTCAGGAATCATGTGTCCACAGCAGTTTACTCCAAAAACTACAGCATCAAATAAGTCCAACCAAATGGGCAATTTCTTCTGGTGTCATCAACAGTATATATATTTCAATTTTTGTGATAAAGGTTTATAAGAAGGAATTATACATATGCAGTGGTGGATCCAGACTTTGAGCTAAGGGGGGCGGGAAGCAGTTTTGTTTTACTTACCCTGCTGGTTTTTCTTCCTTCAGTCATTTCTTCTTTTTTCACCCAAAATGAGGAAGGGGGCGGGGGCCTGGGCCCCCAGGCCAGTCCCCTAGATCCACCACTGATATGAATTTATTTTGCAATGACCAAGTTCTTGGTAACTAACTCACCATTTGGTACCAAACCTGCCTCAACTAGTTGGTCAAGAGGAAGAGACCAGATCAAAACAATCCAAGAATACTGTTAGTTTGTAACTTATCAATAATTACTTTATTTCTTACTGATAATTTATAGAGACAGCAGCGTGTTCAGCATGAAAGACTAAAGGGTGAATTTAGAGAGTCTATTTCACGGTACTACTCTGTACAAAATGTAAGTATGTAATCTGAGGTAGGTAAAGTCTGCATACAAGCCAAGTAGCCCGTGGTTATCAGGCTGGTGCTTAACTCCAGTTTTTGAAGCATGAAGTGACTAGAAGTATTTCCACTCTCTCCTGGGTGGGATGCTAGTCCATCACAGTGTTACCCCAAGCATAAAATTTGCTGGAACCCATTTATACACCCTGGTGAAGAGAGACACTGTGAGAGTCAAGTGTCTTGCCCAAGAACACAACACAGTGTCTCCAGCCAGGGCTTGAACTGGCAGCATTCGATCAAGAGTCAAGGAGTCACAAACTGTGAGGCCACCATGCCTCCTGTCCAATCTCAAGTACAATACCTTATTTTCATTCTACTGCTTCCTTTCACCTTTATTATGTCTCAGACAAACTTTACCTTTCGCTTTTGTAACAGTAGCTTATTGCGAGATATGCATAGAGCATTCAAAGAAATAGTTTTTATATCTGAATCCACCCAGTTTATAATGTAGCTGAGAACTGCAGATTGCAATGTTTAAAAAATAATGCAAGTGTCTCCAGTCATTATTCATTCACTCCAGCTTCATCATGACCTTCCTTTAAGGTTCAAAAGAAATCAGATTTTTCTGGTTGCTGTTGAGGTGCAAAGGCCCCTCTCAGTTGCTTAGATGCCAAGCTAAAAAGTTGTTAAGTGTGTAGAATAGAATCTAATGGCTTTAAGCTGTTGTACAAGACGTCCTTTCTTTGCTGACCATGCAAATATTTTGGAGACTGTAATTCCCTGGTCCCACTATCACCTGTCGCTGTTTGTGTACGCCTTAAATCATAGCCTGCCTGTTGGATGCCCCAGTATCTCTCTCTCTCTTATTTCCATTCTCATTTTAACCCTTTTTAGAAAGTGGTTGAAAAGGAAAAGTTATTAGTCGGTTCAACAAGTACAAGAACTTCACAGGTACTAAATAATTTAATATTTCGGGTTTTTTTTCGTTATTGTAATATGGATGTGTGTGAAGGCAGGAAGGTCACTATGACTTGATGACTCACATTGATCTTATTACTGTTTGGAAAAAAAATGCACATTTTTGGTTTCTGTAAGCCTGCGTAGCAAGCGTTCCCCTACAAAGAGCTTTTCCGCATTCTGTCCAGCTAGAGCAAGCTTCGTTGATTTCTGTTCTTGTTCCAATTTATGCGCGGCCAGAATGCAGGAAAGTTCTTCGTACGGGACGCTTGCTACGCAGTCTAGGTTTCTGTCTAAAGACTTCTGAATTACACAGACAAACAAGCATTAAAGTTCACTAAAAATGAAACTATACTCAATAATTCAGGCCCCGCCCACGCCCACGGAGGGTTCACTCTGAAAACGCATCAAATGTTTTCCCTCTACACTACGCCGGAGGAATTTCAAAACGCAACAATCACCGGTCATTTTTTTCAGATTTGTGTTTGTGGAAAACTCGAGCAGGGAAATCGACATAATTATCGTAGCTACATCGTTGACGAAAACCTCCGTTTTCAAAGTGTTTTTGGTCCAAACGAAAACGAAAAGCCGGCATTTTCAGATTTCTCCAGTTTGAGGAGCGTTTTCGAAAAGCTCCGTTTTCGTGACGGATTAGTGTGGACTGTAGGCCTAACAAAGCTGCTTTTTCAAATCCTCCGGCGTTCGCCCGGGGCCTCAGGGCATCTGACAGGATGCGGTGGTGTAGATCCACATAATTCGCGAACATCTGCATCCTATGCATAATCAGAGCTTTTTTCCAAATAAAACAGAAAAATTGTTTCGCATTAGCGATATGGCAACTGCTTACCATTCTTACCAGGAACAATTTCCACGAACGCAACGACAAAATTCCATGGAAAAACTGTGTTAAATGAAGAAATGCCTGTCAACAAAAAAAGATCAAGCATGCGTCAAAGTTGGCGGGCATGATGTTTATGCTAATATTAAAAGAGTTTAAACTGTAGGTTAGACTTTGAAGTGCTTTTCGTTTCACTGTTGTTCATTGGAAAGGCTTTAATATCTGAAATTTCCACATAATCCAGTATGATCTTCCGGATAATTTGTTTTCAAGTTCCTGTCAGTTGAAATGACCTCATAGGATAACAATCTTATTTCAGAGGCAAGACAGATTCGGAGATGACGGATTTGGAAATGAAAAAAGTAGCTTAATGGAGGACGACCAAAGGAGGTTTGTACATTACTTCTTGCACGTCAGCCTCTTACTGATAGTGTTTTATTCAACCGGTCAAGAATAGGAAGAGGTGAAGATCGTGGGAACATGACTGGAACTCGTATTGCTACCTAAATATCCACAATACCGTTAACAGTTCAACTGTTTATAGCTGAAAATTATACTGCTAATTGCTAACTTGAACTACGGAAAAACTAATTCACGGGCGTGATGTGAGGATTTATTATTACGGTCAAGCAGTGTTTCAGTGTTTTAGCGTTTGCTTAGAATCTTAGGGTTAGCTTAGGGTTTAAGGCAGAGAATAAGGTTAGGTTAGGGTTAGTTTTCGGATTTAGAGTAAGCAATCAAATATTGCAAGGATCCCCCCTTCAGGCCCATTTGTTAGCGTCACCTGCATAGTGTGGGCATGAAAGATCCATCGTTTGAGTGAGGACTGGACGCATCCCTTCAAAGTAAGTAATGCCCAGATAAGTAACGTGACATCATAGGTCTGCAGTGCGTGTACAGGCTATAGTCCTTTGCATGCATTGTAGCAGTGGGGATGTGGTGCTAGCGAATAAGTCACCTCAATATCTTAATTAGTTTTATCGCTTAGGTATTATTTATTATTATAATAATGTGGACAGGCAAGAGCAAGAGCAGCTGGATGTACAGATTGATATCGATGAATCACTGATAAGGGACAGAGAAGAACGGATCCGACAGATAGAGGTGAGTCCACTGCAGTGACAACAACAACAACTTTATTTCTTAAAAAACAAACAAACAAAAACACAAAATTATTTCTGACTGACCCACAAATAACTAAGTTATTGTTGTTTGGTCAGTCCCCTATCGAATGATTAGTGAGAGAGCCTGTTTACTACCATGCATTGTGATTAACTTGTTAAGTTGTAGAAAATTTAGTTGAAGGTTACTAATTATTCCAATGATATTTGTGTAAGGGAGATATTTTAGATATCAATGAGATATTCAAAGACCTTGCAACTATGGTTTACGAACAAGGCGATATGGTCGGTGAGTAATGATTGTCTCATTGTATTGTTTTTAGAACTTTTGAGCCGAGTACAAGTCGTTGCATGATTTCTTATCCCTTTCGCACCATTAAGATATGCTACACATTTAGAAGATACACGTGAAATGCCTTGGAGTCCCGTCCACACTAAGCCGGAGGAATTTGAAAAAGCAGCTTTATTTCTACAGCTAGGCCTACCGTCCACACTAATCCGTCACGAAAACGGAGCTTTTCGAAAACGCTTAAACCGGAGAAATTTGGAAACGTCGCAGTTTTGCGTTTTCGTGTGGACGAAAACCGTTTTGAAAACGGAGCTTTTCGAAACAGATGTCATCACGATGATCACGTGATTTCCCTGCACGAGTTTTCCTCAAATATAAATCCAAAATGACCGGTGATTGTTACGTTTTCAAATTTCTCTGGCGTAGTGTGGACGCAGCCCGCGGGGCCATAAACAGACACGACACACTGTTGATGTTAACAATGGGCATACCGCGTTGGAACAACACCAACAGCAGCAGTAGCAGCAGCGGCAGCAAATTAGGAGCTTTAGCATTTACAACTTCACGTTGCTGGTGAAATGTTTTTAATACGCACATAAGAAGAGACTATTTGACTTCCGTCCGTGACTCAAGAACGTTTTTGCTCGTAAGTTAACTTTAGTAATTATTGTAACCTTACCACAACTGAATGCCGTTAAATAAATTAAATAACCTATTTGCCGACTTTTAATTGTGCCATAGCTATACTTGGAGTTATTATATTACAGTAATACCAAACTTATTTAAAATCTTTGTGAATGAATGGTTTAATTTTAGATTCAATTGAGGCTAATGTTGAACGTGCACACACCCACGTGGAAGGAGCGAACATACAGCTTAGCAAAGCTAGTCTTTACCAGGTGAAATCAAATATTTCCTTGTAAATACTCATCTTTTTCATCGAAAACATACATTTCATAAAGGTCGTCTCACACGAGGGGACCAGTCCCTGCGACTGGTCCATTGAGGAGTTTACACGAAGGGACTGGTCGCAGGGACTTGTCCCTCGAACAGTTCACACGAAGCGTTTTGAGGAACAAGTCGCAGGGACTTGTCCCAAAAATTCAAACTGGTTTGAATTCGTGGGACCAGTCGCAGGGATGCGACTACATTTTGTGGCAAAAATGGCTAGTTCACACGATGGGACTTATCCCCGCGACTTGTTACAGGAACTAGTCGCATGGACTGACCTTAACCCTTTCCAGAATGAAGACATTTGAAAACGGAGCTCTATGTCTCAACGTAATGTCTAGAGGATTTTGATCACGCCGATTCACATCAATTGTGTATACGCNACACGAAGGGACTGGTCGCAGGGACTTGTCCCTCGAACAGTTCACACGAAGCGTTTTGAGGAACAAGTCGCAGGGACTTGTCCCAAAAATTCAAACCAGTTTGAATTCGTGGGACCAGTCGCAGGGATGCGACTACATTTTTGTGGCGAAAATGGCTAGTTCACACGATGAGACTTATCCCCGCGACTTGTTACAGGGACTAGTCGCAGGGATTGGTCCGCTCGTTTTTGCTGACCTTAACCCTTTCCAGAATGAAGACATTTGAAAACGGAGCTCTATGTCTCAACGTAATGTATAGAGGATTTTGATCACGCCGATTCACATCAATTGTGTATACGCGTATGACCTTTCAGTATTTTGTTAGAAAATCTTTGAGACTTCCCAGATTTTGGAAGTTCTTTGGCGGTATTCGGGCTCTTGTCAACTTTGGAATTTGTGGTTCTTCGAGTAATCTCAGTCAATCTTCAAACTAATTTCATCGTCAACGCTCAGAAAAAAACAACAACAATTAAGTGGCCTCCGCTTAAACCATTCAGATTTCAGTTATTTTTGCTCCCTGTTTGATACTGCACTTGGCCGAAACTGTTGTTGTTTTCTCGGTGCGCAAAATTAAAGACGAACTGTCTTTAAATAAATATCACTATTTTTCAAAGGTATGTATGACGATACTAACGAGATTTCTTTTTGATTCCGCAGAAAAAAGCCCGAACCAAGATGTGCATTTTGCTTGTCGTTCTTTTGGTTGTTGGTGGAATTATAGCCTTAATTGTTGTTTTAACAAAAAATTGAAATAGTTCTACGGGCTAATTTATATACTAAATCAGTCATAGCAGTCGATGAGGAATCCAGAATTACCTCAGTTGTATTTGAATGTAGGTATCACTTTTTGATAAACTTGCACACCATCTTCCGTTTGAATGGTGTGTTATGTTAGAGTCACTCTTCAGCAGATGGTCGAAAATGTGGTCTCACAAAATGACTACTTAAACAGTTAGAGAAAACGAAAAAAATAAACTACACCCGACTCAATGGCCATTTTCTATTGAACCATTTCATTTAAGTCTTTATTTGTTGAGCAATCAGATTTTAATATCAACACACCACTCAAATGAATGATTATCCGCTAGTGTTTATAACTAAAGTAAGAAAACGTTCTTTCTTTGTCACGAAAATAGTGGCAAAACTTCTTTAATTCTAAGAACTGTTCGTCAAACAGTTTGCTGAACAAGTAAATTTAAACAATTTACGTTGAGACATTCTTTGTCACACAAAGTGGGGTGAAAAATGCAAGCGAAGACTGAAACACAAGACTGCCTCTTTTCCAGAAAACGGCACCTTCACTTTAATTGTAGTAGATAAGGTAATGAATTGCTAGCCGAGTCATAAAACATTCGCGGTGATTTAGAGGTTTTCGGTTGTATAGTTAAAGACTCGTTAGCTTGTTCGCTTCTTCGAGTGTTACCGAGAACAATGACGTTAGTACAGTTTTACCGTCAAAGAAAAATTTATGTTATTCATATTCAGTTCTTGCTTTTGAATTCATAGAAAACAAATTGTGTTGCGTTCACTGAGGATAAAACCAAAGAAATGTAATGTCACTGAAAGCCGTCAGGCGTCTATTTTGTCTTTCCTGGGTTCTCGTGCTTTGAGTTCTCAAGCTGTAAAAGCCGTTTTCATCAGGTTTTACCGGTAGAGCCGGTAAAGCCGGTATGGTTGGTATAGCCAGTTCCAGGCGTTCGGTTAGTTGTGGGACAACGCGAAAAACGGCGACAGAAAGAAGCAGTGCACGGAAAAGCTCCGTCCCAATCCCCGCCACTGTTTTTTCTTTCGCCGTGCTTCGTGCTGCTCTCGAACGAGCGAAAGGCCTGGAAACTGCCAGATCACGTTATGTTACTGATCAGGCCTGGTTTCTGATCAAAGCCCGCTTTTGTGTTCTGGTAATGTAGTAAAGGTTCAAGTATTAAGTGTTATTTTTGATGAATGGTATGAAAGAATTTTGATAAAATAAAGACGAACGTAAACCTAAAAAGGCCCCTTACGTGTCGCATACGGAACACACGCGCGTCTGCGTGTGTCGCATCGCTACCCAAACGCTCTTTGGACTCGTCACGCAATCTTTCCTCCCGTTGTGGCGCGAAAGATTGCGTGACGAGCAATAGCAATGTCTGACTATGAGGCCAAGTCGTGTCCTGTTATTATACAATGTAACCCCCCCTATGGAGGCTTTGTTCTGATAAGCGGTTGACATAATGATTTACCTCAATCCGAAAGGTAGAAATCCCGGATCTTCCTGACTGGACCATTTTCGTATGTTTATTTTCAAAATGAGATTTCCTACTCAGTGCAGAATCACTGCCCTACGTTTGTTGGTGTTTGAAGCGTGCGAAAGCATTGCCCCTCAATGATCTTTTGGGTTCACAGTTCGCTAGTCGCCTCATTTTACGTCTAATTTGAACCAAATCGCGCCCTTTTCATTTAGAAAATCGTCAAATGTGATCAGTACAATAGACGACTTCAGACAGAAAAACCACGCAGGTTACTTGGTTAAAGCTTGGATAAGCTCAGTTGAATTGGAACCTTTGTCTCGCAAAGCCTTTCCATACTAAGCTAATGACATAGTTATAACATTGCCGACAGTACTGTATCTCGGTTTTCAAAAGTACATCTCGCAGTAGCTTACATCACAGATCAACTCAATCACTTGAGTATTTATAACAGACAGGATGCAGGACAATTTGCCATTCTTGAACTCCTGTAAATCTGCAAAAGTGTAAGTATTTTGTCGTGTTAAACGTTATGCAGTCAATAAGATGTCTGATCAAACCACAGCAAAACAACATCTGATTGGCTTCCCTTCTAAGCTAACACTCCGCAAAACAATTCTGGTATTTGTTTTTCAGATTTGCACTAGAACAATAATTGATACTGGTCAATCTTTCAAGAATATTCAGCTTTTAAAGAGTTTCTTTCTTGGCTAACCTCGGAAATAAAAGTCACTTCACATCATACAAAGGTCTGGCTTGAACATGTACAGTGACAGGGGCGTAGCCAGGGGGGTCCTGGGGTGCCTGTGACCCCCCCTCTTGTAAGCCTTTTTAAGCAACAACCTACCACAGGGGGCAAACATGTCATGACAATCTGCTGAGTACCCTCACTTAGACACACTGTGACCACCCCACCCCCCTTTTAAAAAATCCTGGCTATGCCCCTGAGTGAAACCTCAATATAACAAAGGACCAAGGGACTGACAACATATGTTCGCTGTAACGAGGTTTGATAAGCGCAGTTCTTCAATATATTTTACTATTACTGGGGCAAAGAAATACAGCGGATTTCAACTGAGTGTCAAAAGACCAAAACCAAACCATTTGCTTACCAATTAGACTACTCAGCCAATGTCAAACCCAGTAAAACCAAAACCAAAGTAATTGCCTGATTGCCTTTGACACTCAATTGAAAACTACTCCATTGTTTGTTACACCGAGGACCTCGTTACATAGTGGTTCCTCTGCAACACCATTTTGCAATGAGAATAGCCTCTGTGAGCACAAGAGCAATCACTCGTGTGAACAGAACAGAAAACACAGAGACACCAGGCATCAGGGTCGTGACAATCAAAGTGATGAGGACAAAAGATCATCATAGGCCTAACTATTAAATCAGACCTTCTAACAAACAGAATTGTGCTCTTACTTGACTGTTGTAAAGAGTACGAGTAGAAAGTGCTCTAGATAGCACAAACTTTAACTGGTGACATAATTAGTACTCAAGAAACACAGTACCAAGTAATAAGATGCCATGCAGATGACAAAGACATACAGTGAAATGAGAAAAATTAACTTCAGTTGTGTTGCAGATCATCAGTCTAGTGCCGTGTAATGCCACGGTATCCACAGTTTGAAGTTCTTTGCAACATATCATTACATGACTGGCCCAGGTCTGTTGTAAAGCCATTTTGCAAGAACTTGATATTTACAGTGCTGATCTCTTCCACTTGACTCCACTTTATAAAATCTGCAATGGTTCTTACCACAAAACAGTATTCCTATAACCTGGAAGTACATCCTGGGCACTGATTCTTAAAATCAGCTAAAAATTCTCTTAATAAATAACTAGATGAGTAATGATGGTGTTGGTTTCTTGCCAGGCCACGCCTCTTTAGCGTATTTCTTTTTAGGAGCTTCGGCAATTGTCATTGTAGCATTTTGCATAACTGGCCCAGCTGGTAAAGGTTCTGGTGCGTGATGTACAGGAACACTCGGCAGCGTTGGAGATGAGACTTCAGGTGCCGAGGTGATTGACATTCGAGGTTTGTGTTGTGTTGTGGGTGAGGTAGGACTTGTAGGGTCAGGAGTGACTCCTGTTCCTGGTAGATTGGAGTACAGACCTTGAGAGTAAGGGAAGCTCTGAAGACGACGAGTAATGTTCTCTGTGAGACTCCCTACAGGAGAAACTGGTCCTCGTATTTTCTGTGAAAGTCAACAATTAACTCTTTTTAGCTCAAAGAATGATGAACATTACTCAGTCTTAGTAGCATACAGGCTATGTACAATGGCCAGGAAAAAAGTCCTTGGGACAATGATAAAATGCAATGAATTATCTGTGATTTGCGGGAGGTGTGGTGACCTCATGGTTAGGTGCTCGTCTCCAGATTGAGCATCCAGGTTCGAGCCCTGACTAGGGACATTGTCATTGTGGTGTTCTTGGGCAAGACTCTTTATTCTCACAGTGTCTCTTTCCACCCGGGTGGATAAACTGGTACTGGCAAATGTAATGCTGGAGGTAACCCTGTGACATACTAGCATCCCATCCTGGGGGGAGGAGAAATATTCCTAGTCGCTTCAAGCCACAGAAACTGGGATAAGCTCCGGCCTGATGTGCCACTTGGCTCATATGCAGACTTACCCCTATCAGTGATTTACACAGCACTGCCACCTTTCAAAAATGCCTTGTTGTTCCCACCTTTCCACCCAGTGCAATTTTGAAACTCAGGATAAATTGCAGGTACTAGTTTTAAACATTGTACATGAGTTGGGGGGTGGGGGGGGGG